ATTAAATTTAAAGAGAATTAAATTGCTTTACAGGATGTGCTTTGGTGGAGCAGCGGTTAGCATGCACAACCCATGTCCTTAGTCAAGGCATTAATTAGTCCTCGGCATGGCCGACCCGGGTTCGAATTTGAATTGTGTTTCTAGTTCTAGGAGTACAGCATAGGCTTGGTCTAGGAGGTTGATACACTGACAATAAATCTGTTACATATTGAGGTGCCGATCCATTCAGTGATTTATATACTAACAGAAGAATTTTAAAGGTTATTCTATGAGCCACAGAGAACCATTGTAAGGACTTCAGAACCGGGCTGATGTGCTCTACTTTCTTAGTTCTAGTGAGAACACTTGCAGCAGCGTTTTGGATCAGCTGCAGCTGCCTGATGGACTTTTAGGCAAACCCATGAAGAAACTGTTGCAGAAATCAATACTACTAAAGATAAATGCATAAATGTGTTTTTTTTTCTAGAACCTGCTTGGAAATTTGTCTTTTGATCCTAGAGATGTTCTTCCAGTGATAAAAGTCTGACTTAGTAACTACCATTTAGAAACATGGCTTGAACAGGGCCCTGTATTTGGACAGCCAGATATTCGAAAGATTCAAAGTCACCCAAGCTTTAGTAAACGACTTTCGTAAATGATTAAACAGAGTAAAGGGTCCTACCCCTTTTTAAACAGTCTCTACTGATGTAGAAATCTGTCATTTGGGCGCATAGTCTCCAGTAAAAAGGCATCTCATTGTCTCATTATTTTCCTGACAGAGATCTTTTGTTAAATAAATGCAGTTTGAACCCTGCTAAGCCCAATGGGACTAGTAACAACTATTAAAAATAGTGTATGCAGCCCTTATGTGCAGCTGCATCCTTCATTTCAGCGATCTTTGCAGTGTTATGTTTTCTCTCTCATGATTATCAAATATCACAATGATACAGAAGAAGAAAATGACAGTTTGGGAGTCTTTGCATTAGACGCGGAAGATAAGTTTGGCTGTAACTTTCTATTCCAGCATAGTTACATTATAGTTCTGCTATTTCAAATAGAGGGAACATAAATAAAGTTGGAAATAATTCTGAATGTTGATCGATCATTTAAAAAAAACTTCCGGTTTAATCTTGTTTCAACCCAGCCTCTCCTCATCTTAACTACCATATGTAGAATTGCTTCAAAGAACTTTATAAAACTTTTACAATATCCACATTTTACTAATTACATAACTGTTGCAGCAGAACTATACACTATATATATATATATTATATATTTATATATAATATATATATATATATATTTTTATATATATAATATATATATACAGTATATATATATACAGTATATATATATATATATATATATATATATATATATATATATAACGTATATATATATATATATATATATATACAGTATATACTGTATAGCTCTGCTGTAACAGTATTTGAGAACCCTGCTATTTTACAAGTTCTCCCACTTACAAATCATGGAGCGGTCTGAAATTGTCATCATAGGTGCATGGCCACTGTGAGAGGCATGATCTAAAAAAAACAAATATCCAGGAGTCACAATGTATAATTTTGTAATTATTATTTTGTATGATACAGTTGCAAATAAATATTTAAGAACCCGACTATCAGCTAGAATTCTGACCCTTAAAGATCTGTTAGTCTGCCTTTAAATTCTTGTGTTTCATGGCGGTTGAAAGTTTCATGGCGGTTGGCAAACTTAAAGGTTCATTACCGCCACCAACTGATAAGGAGTTAAGCAAGGAAACAGAAAACAAGACTCACCCCCAGAAAAGAAAAACAATAATGATTAAAAAATATATATATCTTTCCAAACTGTTTAACTTAACCAACATAATAAATACTTAATCACATTAGTCCTCATAATTTATCTCAAAATTATCATCACTGCCAGTTTCTGATGGTCTTACTCGTTTTCCCATCATGCTTTTTAACCATTTCCCATCTCTAACGTCAAGATACTTTTCTCCAGCTTTCACTATTATTTAGATTTTGTTCGGTTTTCCCTTGTTGTCTGAGCACTACAATTGATCACTTCAACCATGAAAAGAACAAAATCTTTCTTTTTTTACTATCAATAAATCTTCAATTTGGGATGCTGCTCCAGAGGTTTTGAACTTATTTGCTTAACTGTTGGTTTGGGTTTTTCTGACCGATGGGATCCTTTTTTCAGCTTCAGCATAAGTTATTCCAAGCTCTAATTTAACTTTTCTAATTTCTTCAGATCTTTTACTCACTTCACAATCGCTATATGCAGCAGTATGTTCTCCACCACAGTTACAGCATTTGATTTTATCTTCTTTCCCACATTTTCCATATTTGTGCTCTACAGCATACCTTTCACATCGTTGTTAGAGGAACTCCTCCAATGAATCCCCTGCTAATCTTTTTGTTCTCCACCAAGCTGCACTGAACTCTTCCCCCTCAGTCTTGTTAATCTTTGCCTTGCTGAACGCTGTCTCTGCAGTTAATTAACAGGTCTCCAGTATAGAGTATTCTGGCACTTCGGACTTCTCCTACAAGTTTATTTATCGATTTTGTTAACTGCACCGGATTTCAATCTGTAAAAGAATCTGTCTGGTTGACTAGTTTGAATATGACATTGTAATCATTATGTTTTCCTGTGGAATTTCTAGATTTTTCTTCTCTTGATTTTGGGGAACAACCTCCTTCCCCAAGTTAGAGCATTGAAGATGAGAGGTCGAGGCTGGGTCTTCCAGTCTGACAACAACCCCAAGCACATAGCCAGGAATGATGACATTTACAATACTGGTTCCACTTGAAAAGTATTATTTAACCACTTCATAACTTGGAGTGACATTTGATTTAATTAGTTTAATTAATTAATTAATTATTTTCAGGCAGAAATTCCTTCCTAAACCATCAGAGCTTAAGAAACTAAGTCATTACATGGGTCAGGATGTTGTTCAGGGTGTTGTAGGTGGGAAATAATCTCTTTTCATATATACAGGGGAACCAAATAAGATCAGAAAGACTCTACGTGCATAAAACTGTAATATTCCTCTAGATCTTTGCACATACTGTTTGATGAACTAACCCCTGGAAATGATGAAATCACGAAAACAGACTCCATAAACAATGCATCTAGACATCTAGTTTTTAAACAGGATAACAACATAGACCCCTTTTTCATTGAAGGTGAAATGTAACTATTAGCTAAGAGAGAATTACCCTTTTATTAGGTGTATAATTATACTATATGGTTGTAATTAGTGTTGCACTGATACCAGTATCCGACAGGGCACCGATAATGAACTAAAATGGTGGCATCTGTATCGGCGAGTACCAACAAATAGGGCACCGATACCATTTTGAGAGCCAAAACTATTGTCACCCATTCCAGGTAGGCAATATAAAGTTTTACTGGATTCACTTTGCTTTAGTCTTTTTCCTGCTTCACAAAGATAGGCAGCAGCTTGACAAAGCCATGATGGCAGTAATTCTACATCCAAGCAGTATGCAGTTCTTCATATATACACACACATCAATTTCAAGCAGATGGTATCAGGGCAAAAAATGGCATCTGCACAACACTAGTTGTGATTTATATATATGATAATTAAACAAGTGATATATTTAGACATATGAAATAAGAACTTGAAGACAATATTTGAATAAAAATTGCCTGATATGAGCCTTAAATCTTCCATTTAGGGGTAAACTAATTACTTTTTTTCCCCTCTACATTATCTTAGTGTTTAGACCAGCTAAACTGCACCTTTTTGTCCATTAGACCAAATTATTTGGGTCCTCACTGTCACTGAACTTCCTGAAAAGAAGATGCTGTTTTTCATAAGTGTGGCCATTAGCTTGTGGATAACAGTGTTACTTGGTTCTAGTTTTAATGGAAAACTTTCCAGATTCCATTTCCTTCCTTTAAACCATTATCACAAATTGAGTCAGATGTTTGATTCTCAAAAGAGAACATCTCAACAACTTGTGAAGATTTATTGCTGCATTGCCCAACAAAGTTAAATAAAATACTTTGGTTAATATAATCTCTCTAGCTGGTTGAGCTCCACACTGTATAGTCTTCAGGTTGGATGGTTTACTACTGTTTAATTAAATGAATGCCATGTATTAAAACTGTACAGAAGCCAAGAGATCCATTACAGGTTAAGTACCGGAACTGAGATTGAATCGGGAGTGGTGTATAAGGCACACACTTTCATTCAGTCAGTGCCTGTGAACTATAATTTTCTTCCTGAGATCAGAAAGCAGGGAAAACATGGAGGAGGGTACTTTGTTTAAAGAGTCACTGAAGTATAAAGTTATTTCTAAGCAATTTTGACTTGTGAATATTTTAATTTCCGAACAATGTTACATATTTTAGGTAAGAAAAGAAGCTATAATTTCTTTGCCGATTTTTTTTTAAAAACAAAATGAAATACGAAACACACATTTTACTGTTTTTCTGTGAAAGGGTTGATATTTATGCTATTAAAAAAAAGTGTTACATGTGAAAAAATAGATCATAATACAGAAGGGAATGTAGATCTGCAATGTACCATCTCCTACAAAACCAGACTGGCACATTATTGGTGTAGTTCATCTGGCAGGTTTTTGGGTAGGCTGCTCCTTGAACACTGCACTCCCTTATCAGTTTAATGCCAGCAAACCTAAACTCAGCAATCTTTAACTCAGAATAAAACAAAATTACTTTAAAAAAGAATCTTTTCCAAGTGATGTGCATTTACTGAATTATGTATCACACTGCCTTGAAGTCAGCTCAATACATACTAGTTGCCAAAAAATGTCTAAATGGACAGTATGTTAAAAAAAGCATGAGGTAGCAGGTGGGACCCTGAATCAAAAGCTGATCAAGGCATCACACATCGATTGAGCTCTGCATAGATCATGAATATGGATTCATTACCAGAATTATACATAAACATACAGAACAAGCTTGACACTGCAAAAGTAGCCCCACTGCTGAACCCAGTTCATCCCACAAGGTAAAACCAATTTGTTTCAATGCATAGCACAAACTTTATTGAATATATGAAAACGTATACAAATGAAGAAAAAAAATAATTAGAATGAAGGCATTTTTCCCTGCAAAACGAGAAAATAAATTAAGTCACCCTTTAACAAATTCAAAACATGAGGAACAATGCATGTTTTTTTTGTTTTTTTTTGCATTAAGGCAAAAAAACGGCTTTTATTTCCACCTTTAATATGAAGACTTAATGGATCTGGAGTACATCTGCTCAGGGCTAATGCAATCCCCTCACATCAACAACTTTCTGACTTTTGAATAGGACCCTAGTCCTGCTGCTTCCTCTGATAGAGACACTACCTTTTCTGCAAAATACCCTTCAAAGGAGTAACAATAACAGAGTGTAGAACAGGAGCCATTGTTCTATTAGCTGAGGTGAAAATCGGGTGGAAGATATTTGAACAGCTAGTATAGAGTTAACATTCATGGTGAGATACTGCAGAAAGCTTAAGTCCAGGACTTTAGCTCATTAAATTAGCTACAGAAGCTGTGAGGAGACCAAAACATTAAGCACATGCAGCCCAAAGAGAGGAGATGCTTTAAATGGTGCATACAGTAAAACTCAGCATATTCATTATACATTTCTGAAATATTTACATACTTCCTGCTCTTTCAGAGATGTAGGCCTGTTGAATTACATCTATTCTCACCGTGTCTTCACTCAACAAAAAGCAGAGAATTTCAAAAGTGTTTAAAACGAGAAGCTTACGCTTTTCACTTTTCTTCTTCTGTTACTTATTCTCCTGTCCTTAACTTGTCAGAGTTTCTACAATCTACAATAACAGAGCTCAGGCGGTGTGTGTATGTGAGGCCACGCTACCCTTGCTAATAGATATCGGGCTAAGCACGCATGGAGGACAGAAACAGGAATGTGACACCAAGATCTGAAACTGGCAGGTTTTATAATCAGCAACTCTACATGGTTACAAATGTGCAACATGAACCGTTTTCTCTGTTAAAAGAAAAAGGCTTTTTTTTTTTCATCTTAAATAACAGTTAATTATCCTTCTGTTTAGGACGAGATGGGCTGAGATCTTCTTAGTAAGAGCGGATGGCAGGAGGAACATGGGCACATTCCTGTTCGTTCAGAGAGTGGTCAATAACCGGGCGGTAACGCAGCGTCACCTGTTAGCGGGCAGAATGAAAGGTGTGTTAAGACATCACAGATTATTTTGAAATCTGAATAAACGGAGAAAGCATACCTTTCCGGTCTTGGGGTCTACGTATGACATGGTGTGCTTCCTCCAGTGCTCATCGAAGGGCTTCTTCTGTTGACCTTCCAGGGGCTTGGAGTAGTCGTACTCGTCGATGCGATCCTGGAACATAAAGGTGGCGGATTTAGAGAGCAGCCAGACAGGAAGTAAGCTATGTGCAGCTTAGGTTACCATGGTGACAGACTAGGGTTGTCAAAAGTATCGATACTCAAAAAAAGTATCGATACTGAAACGTTGTATCCGGATACAATACTCATTTTCAAAAGTATCGAGTACCAGTCGCACCTAAACAGTCATTCATCTAAAGTGCAGAATAGAGGAAAATGCACTTTCTGAACACTGTGTGATTGAATAATTCTACGCACTTTTCAGTTTCAGACTTTTTTTGTAACAGTTGCAGCTGCTGAGAATTATTTTTGTTTCTTAACCGGTTTGGCTAGTGTCATTGTTATGTGTGCAAAGCATAGCCAAGTAAGGAAAACTTGATTTTAATTTTGTAAGTTCAATACTGTGCACAGGAAACAACCTCAAAATGTTGTTCTTATTGTTTATTGTATTTATTTATTTATTGTATTTTAATTATTAATCAAAATATTTCAGTTGGGGTCACGTGGGAGCACCGAACAAGATGGTCGCCTGAATTGGAGCTGCTCATCAAAGCCCTCAATTTGATCTAAATCCGGCATTTAAATCCGGTCTCTTCTGACAAATACTCAGTCTTTAGGTACAATAGGTGTTTCGGTGCCGGACAGTCAGCCGTTTTGAGGCAATGACGACTAGAACATCGTCTGCCAAGCATGGTGCTAATGCTACAACTAGCGGGGCTAATGCTAAACCAGCTAGCCAAACCACAGAGGCAAGTGTGCTGCTTGAAATGCAACAATCTCTCAAGAAAGCCACGGAGGAAATGGGAAAAGTTGGGCAGCTGTTGACAACTCTGCAAGAAGAGGTGAATGAGGTAAAAGAAGCTAACAAAGAGCTACGAAATGACGTTGACCAGATTATGCTACGTCTGGATGAAGCGGAAAGCCGCATCTCGCAGCTAGAAGACGAGAATGTCAAGTTATGCACGTCTGCAGAAAAAAGTGCTAAAAAGTGCGAGGAGCTTCACCAGGCTATTGAAGACGCCGCTAATCGTGACAGGAGACAGAACCTGCGCTTAATTGGCCTGAAGGAGAAGTCTGAGGGCGGAAAACTGGGCGAATGTGTGAGACAGATCATCTCTGAGGCGCTCGGTGTTGAGCTTGACCGCACACAGCTACAACGGGTCCACCGCACCGCTGGACCAGTCCCTGACGAGGACAGACCGCCCAGACCCATCGTGATGCGGTTTTTAAGTTTCCTTGAACGTGAACGGGTGTTGGACGCGGCAAGGGAGAAGTACAAAAAGAAAGAGGTCATCGTGTGGAGAGGCTGCAGGCTGTCGTTCTTCCCTGACATGACGAGAGAGACAGCGGAGAAGCGAAAGAAGTTTACAGACGCACGGAGGAGACTACACGAGCTGGATGTGCGCTTCACGCTGGCGTATCCGGCTGAGCTACGCTTCACGTGGGAAGGCAAGAGGATGAGATTCACCGATCACCGTAAAGCCTTGGCCTTTCTAAGCAACACTCAAAATGAAGAGGAGGAGCACCAAGAATGGTGTGGTTTATGGACTTAATGACAGACAGTGAGTAAAAACCGGTTAAAATGTAGATTTTGTTGGTGATTGCTTCAAATACGGTTCTGTATTGAAAGAAAGAATTTAAGTTATTAGTTTTGCCAGTAATTTACTATTTCGTTAGGATTATGATTATATTGTTTGGGTAACACACATATTGGATATTTTATTTGTCATGGTACCAGTTGTGTTGTTTAGAAGAGACAAAAGGGGAGGATGGGGGCCAATTGGGCGATCATTCGTGTGTCTCATGGGCCGTGTTTATGGGAGGGATTTCTCTTATGTGAGAGGGAGGGGGAGGGAGGGTTTTTTTGTGTTCAGGTGTTTATTTCAGTTCATTTTTCCTGATGTGGGTTTTACATCAGAGGATGTTTTTGTTTTGGCACAGTTGTTTCATTTAACAGCAGAACTTTCACCAAGTCACAGAGGTAGACATGGCTAACTGTTTAAGAATAATATCCTGGAACGTGAATGGGCTGCAAAACCCAATAAAGCTTAAGAAATGTTTGACATATATTAAATCCCAACAAGCTCAATTAGCATTTATACAAGAAACACATTTATTAGACTCAGAAGTAAGTAGATTAAAAAGGGACTGGGTGGGGCAGGTGTTTCATAGCTCCTACGCTAATAAAAAAACACGGAGTTGCTATTTTAGTGCATAAAAAACTAAATCTTACTGTTTCAAAAGAGCACAAAGACTCTGATGGCAGAGTAATATGCTTAGAAGCTGTAATCAATGGTGTGAAGGTTAACCTATGCAACATTTATGGACCAAATCAAGAGGATGCAGATTTTTTCCATTACATAAACAAAATGATTGGGGACATATCTACAAGCAAATCAATAATTGCGGGAGATTATAACCAGGTCGTGGATGGGGTCTTGGATAAAACTACGTATTCTAGGGTCGAGCCCAAGGACAGAATGGCTATTGAGTTAATGATGAAAGATCTCAACTTGGTAGATATTTGGCGGGTGATTAACCCTAAAGAGTGAGAGTATACATTTTATTCTCATAGGCATAAATCTCATTCCAGAATTGATTACTTCCTAATCAGCAATAACTTGGTGCAAGATGTTTCAGACTGTTCAATAGGACCAATTGCACTGACAGATCATGCCACCGTACACTTGGGTTTGATTTTGGAACCAGATTTGATCAAAAAGAGTAGGTGGAGACTTAATGTGTCTTTATTACAGGATACTGAACTATGTAAGTACTTGGAACAGGAGCTTGATAATTTCTTTGAGTTGAATATGGGTTCAACAGAAAGGGTGGGTACTGTTTGGGAGGCATCAAAGGCCTATATACGAGGGAAATTGATTGCATATGCATCAAAAAAAAAGAAAGAACAAATGCAAAGAATAAATACAATAGAAACTGAGCTAAAGACTTTGGAAAAAAGGCTATCAGAATGTTATGATGAGATACTGTTAAGACAAATTTGTGATCTAAAACTACAGATAAACGACATATATAACAAAAAAGTCGAATATGCTTTATTTAGATTAAACACCAACTTTTATGAGAGTGGCGAGAAAGCTGGAAAACTCTTGGCAAGACAGCTTAAAAGGAAAGAGGCTAATTTTACAATACCAGCCATAAAAGATGAATCAGGAATTCCAAAGACCAGTACTGGTGATATTAATGATGTTTTCTTTAAATTCTATAACAAACTTTATGAATCACAGGTAAAACATGATCTTGAAGAGTGTGACAGGTTTTTTTTCAAAATTTGACTTGCCTAAACTGACAATTGATCAACAAACATATTTGGATAGCCCTATAACAGTAGAGGAAGTAAAAAAGGCAATTTCTCTCATGAGACCATCGAAGTCGCCAGGAGTGGATGGGTTCCCATCGGAGTATTATAAAAAATTTGCAGACAAACTGGCTCCAATTTTGACGGAGGTCTTCAAAGAATCACTTGATTTGGGGAAAATGCCGGACACTTTTAATGAAGCCCTAATTTCCTTAATACATAAAAAAGATAAGGATCCTATGGATCCCGGCAGTTTTAGACCGGTGAGTCTTATAAATGTAGACTGTAAAATTCTGACAAAAGTCATTGCAATTAGAATGGAAAATATATTGCCACACCTAATTCATATGGACCAGGTGGGATTTGTGAAGGGAAGGACATCATCAGATAATGTCCGAAGACTCCTGCACCTCATGTGGCAAAATCGCAATAATGACACTCCAGTAGTGGCCCTGTCGTTGGATGCCCATAAGGCCTTTGACAGGGTAGAATGGAGCTTCCTCCAATACACTCTGAAAGCATTTGGATTTGGGGAAGGCTTAATCAAATGGGTTAGTGTGATCTATGCAGACCCTAGAGCCGCTGTGTCAACAAATGGGTTAGTTTCACCTTTTTTCAAACTACAACGCGGGACAAAACAAGGAGACCCATTGAGTCCCCTTCTGTTCACCCTCTTTTTGGAGCCCTTAGCTGCGGCAATCAGAAATAATGAAAATATCAAAGGTGTGGTGCAGGACTCAGAAGAACATAAAATGTTCCTGTATGCTGATGATATTCTACTTCTTATTAGGGATCCTTCCACTTCAGTCCCAGAGGTTTTGTCAACAATTGAACATTTTTCAAGGTTATCAGGGTACTTAATCAACTGGCAGAAGTCTGAGGCCATGCCAGTCTCAAAGAACTGTTTCCAAACTCACCTCTCACAGTTCCAATTTAGATGGACCCCTGTTGGTATGAAATACCTTGGCATTAAATTAAGCCCGGAGTTGAATAATATAATCTCAATCAATATAGAACCACTGCTCCATAACTTAAAAAATAATATAGATAAATGGAAACTATTAAATATTACTTTGTGGGGTAAAGTTAATACCATTAAGATGCTGGTTGCCCCACAATTCAATTATATTTCAATGATGGTACCCCTGATTATTAGTAACACCTGGTATAAGAAATATAATGAGCTAATCAAAAAATTTTTATGGAATGGGAAGAAACCGAGAATTGGTCTTAAAAAACTTTCGGCTCTGAGAGGGACAGGAGGGATGGCACTCCCAGATTTAGAATTATACAATATTGCATTTGAATTGAATAAATTATCCAGGCATTGGAAAAAGCAAGACTTGGATAAGGGATGGGTTAAAGTTGAAAGGGCATTAACAACTCCTTTTGAAGTCATCCAGCTGCTTTCTCATAAGCCTGAAGGTGAACTACAATATAACCCAATTATACAACATTCTAAATGGGCATGGAATAAGGCTCACAAAATATTGGGCATCTCCTCATATAAACAGACTTACTCCTCAGTTTGGAACAACCCAGTAGTGCGTATTGGGAAATCTCCTGTTTATTGGAAGAAATGGTTAATAGGAGGGGTCCAGAAGATTGAGGATTTGTACAGAGATAACAATTTCATGTCATTTGCGATGCTGAGAGACACCTTTAATCTTACAGATAAAGGGGATTTCTGGAAATATTTACAAATAAGAAGTAGTGTAGGTTCAGTTTTTGAGTTGAGCAATATACAGGGAGAAAACCCATTACAGGCCTGGCTAAACTTACCAAAAAATTTCCAAACTGCATCAATGTATTACAAGAAGCTTTTAGGTGACCAAGGTGCAATATGTGAAGGTTTAAGACTGAGCTGGCAAAAATATCTTAATATTAATATTATGCAAGATATGTGGGAAAATGTTGTTTCTAATGTAGGATGGGCCACCAGGGATGCAAGAAGCAAATTTATTCACTACAAAATTATTCATAGATTTTACTTTACACCATCCAGATTATTTAAAATGGGTTTATTACAGAAGAACACCTGTTGGAAATGCAATGGTGATATTGGCACATACATTCATGTATTCTGGGAGTGCCCCCTGGTGGCTCCATTTTGGACAGAGGTTGTAAAATATCTGGAAAGATGTATTGGTTTACCTATCCCAGCATCACCACAAATGTGTTTGCTTGGCAGTAAATGTTTTATACCTCCTGGGTTCACTATGGACACTTACAAGTTTGCTGTGACTGGTTTTCTTGTTGCTGCACGTCTAATTTTACGAATATGGAAAAGCCCCCACAAGCCACAAACATCAGACTGGATTAAAATGATGACAGAAACTGCTTCATATGAGAGACTGTTATCAAAAATTCACGACACTCAGGATAAAACAAGCCGGATTTGGACATATTTTTTTGAATTTGTAAAAGGATCTAACTCTGCTGAACTTACTGTAATCTAATTACAATGTGCCACTTTTATATTTTTGTTGTATTGTTCCTGAAAAAATAACAATAAAAACTTAAATGACAAAAAAAAAATATTTCAGTTGAAATTTTATCCTTGTGGTATCGAAAATGGTATTGAGTATCGAATATTTTCCTTAGTATCGGTATCGAGTTGAAAAGTTTAGTATCGTGACAACCCTATGACAGACTATGGTAAATTTTTACCACGTTACCAAGTTTGTATTTCTACTCATAGGACTTTACATTAACTGATCTTCACCTTAGTTAATGCTTTATGAGCAACCCTAAAATTTACTCTAAAGTTAATTCACACCCTGCCTCTAAGTTGACCCCTAACATTAAAAATGAGGTTCTGCCACATTAGCACTAACGATTGATCCTGAAACAGCTGGTAAACTATAAAAGCTAATAAACAGAAGTACAAACAAACTATAAATGCAAAACCATTTAAAGACTCATCTAGCCTAATTGTGCTTTTTTTTTTTTTTTTTTTTTTATAAATATGGATTAATGAGCATAGTCCAAAGTATAACTTCTCCATTATTTTGCATGTTGGTCATGATGCTTGATAAAGTGAAGGTGTCCAAGGAAGAATGTTTTTTAACAGGTACTTAGTTTTGCTTTGAACTCAGTTTCTCCATAAAGTATCAATGAGCGCCCCCAAGTGGCCAAAATTATGAGACATATTTTGAAACCTAATTGCCATATTCTTCTTCTTTTTCTCTTTTTGTATTAATTGTGTCCAAGAACACAGTGGTAATAAACATGCAAGAGTAATAAATATAAGGGAGCATGTCTGTTGCTTCCACTGACAGCAGATATATGATCATTTCAGAAGGAAGTGAGGAAAATACACTAGGACATAATGCCAATTAATACTGAGATAATGCATCTTAAAGTGAGCAAGGAAACAGAAACATGGATAAAAACTCAGTCAAAGATGTTCCAGGGGTCTAAGGTAAATAAGGGAAAATCTAAGAACTTACTTTGAAGTCCTCTCTGGCGTGGGCTCCTCTGCTCTCCTTTCTTTGCTCAGCAGAGTTGATGGTTTGGACAGCGTTCAGCATGAGGTTCTGCAGCTCCAGGGATTCCACCAAATCAGTGTTCCACACAATTCCTAAAACAAAACACAAAAAATGAGAAGGGAAAAAAAAAACAAAGATAAAAAACTCCTTCAGCCCCCCCCCCACCACCACCACCACCACACAGCTGGATCCAGAGAAGCCGTGATGGAAGCTAGTCCCTACCTCTGTCAAAGGTCTTGATCTTCTCCATGCTCTGATAGATGTCGTCTAACTTTCCACATCCCTCCTCCAGAACAGAGCCGGTACGGAACACGGCAGCATGGTTCTGCATAGCCTGAGCACAGAAATAAAGCAGGCGTCTTAGCCTTTGATGAACACCTTTTAGCTCCTGTGTGGAAGTGACAAATCCAGAGTCCACTGATGTCTGTATTTAAGGTTTCACCTTCTGCATGTTGAGCCTGATTTCAGACGTTCTCAGACTTCCATTAGCAAACCTCAGCTTATCCAGGTTAGCCACAGACTCTTCTCCAGCACTGGGCTTTAGAGGAGACAGCTTCTCGCCTTAAAAAGATTTTAAAAACAAGCATTAGTTAAATGAACAAGGAAACCGTGTAGTGTCTTAAATTTCTCCCAGAATGAAACAGATCCTCACCAGGCTTGTGCTCCTCAGCGATGGTGAGAGCGCAGGCTCTCCCGAACACCACCAGGTCCAGCAGGGAGTTGGCCCCCAGCCGGTTGGCTCCATGGACACTGGCACATGCCGCCTCACCGCAAGCGTACAGACCAGGAACCACCTTGTCCTCGCCATTGGTGTGATCAATCACCTGACAGTGAAAAGAATCACCATCAGAATAACGGTTGAGATTAATTAATGGTCGGAGGATCGGAACAGAGGCCGTACCTGTCCCTTGTAGTTGGTGGGTATGCCTCCCATATTGTAATGAACTGTGGGCAGGACGGGGATGGGCTCCTTAGTAACGTCGACGCCAGCGAAGATCATGGCCGTCTCGGAGATTCCAGGCAGCCTAGTCGCCAGCTGCTGGGGAGGCAGGTGGTGGAGCTGCAGGTACACATGGTCCTTGTCTGGACCTACACCTCTATAGAAGGAAAAGACATGTTAGATATCGTTTCATTGTTAAACATCTACAACAACCAAATAGTTTTTGTCCGTACCTGCCCTCCCTGATCTCTATTGTCATGGAGCGGGACACCACGTCTCTGGACGCCAGATCTTTGGCGTTGGGTGCGTATCGCTCCATGAAGCGCTCCCCCTCGCTGTTGATCAGGATTCCTCCCTCACCACGGCAACCCTCTGTGATCAGGCAACCAGCTCCATAGATTCCTGCAAACATCCCAAGTTAAAGCAATGGCCATCTGAGGAAATGCGCCTCCACAACTCCAGTGTCAACCAGACCACAATCCCAAGAATTCCCCATCTTTTATCCTTTATCATTTTAATATTTGAAATATCATTAAAGGAAGAAAGGACAGGCTAAACAAAAGGAGGGGAAAGTTGGACATAAGGATAAAAAAAAAAGCAAGCAAACAATTTTTGAACAATGTTTGTGTTTAAAATGATAAATAAAATTAAAATGAATACAGATTTACAGACAGCTAATGCCACACTGGCATCGTCACTGTATAACATGATTACGCAATGTCACTGGTGAGCCTGGTGTCAAATGTCTGGCAGGAACAAAAATAAGGATGACCTTCAGTCCTTGTGAGAGGCACATCTGTCACACTATGTCTAACCGGAGTTATGATCCAATCCACGAGCAAAAAGAAGCAGTTTTAGATCAATGGTCAGAGCAAGAAAACAAAGAGAAAACTAATAAACAGTCAAAAATACTTGGGAGGAAAATTGTGTATTCCTGATTCCACATAGTATTTATAATCTACTGCATAAAAAAAAATGGCTAATTTACAGTTTTTCCACAATGTTTTTCCACAAAGTAGACACACATATCAGATATCTGCTATTAAGCTGGATTGGATAGATTAGGGATTCGATATAGATCCAGTCCAGTAACCTTTACATGGAACTAGGGCTGCAACTAACGATTATTTTAAAAATCGATGAATCGGACGATTATTTTTTCGATTAATCGATGAATCGGACAAAAAATATTTTTTATATTAACCTCTTTATTCCAAAATAAACATTTTAGACAGAACAAACAAGCAGACAAGTACAGGTTGCTCGTTAACTGTACTGGTGCAATATGAAAAATAAATGTTTGTGTTAAAACTACGCAAACTTACATGAGAAATGTAGCTGTACATCCACAAAATATAGGGTACTTTGTTTCATAAAGCGCAAAAAAAGACATTTTTGTTTTTAAAAGCCCCTAAGGGGTTCAAACAATAGGCCCCCCCATTTCAACAAATTAGTTTTTTTAGACTAGAAGAGTTCTGCCTTTTAAGACAGGAAAGTACAGCAGTTAAAGTTGCTGCTTGAGAAAATACTGAACCATAGAGATAAAAATAGCCCTGTGATTCAAATTATAAATTGTATTTGGAATAAAAATGAGAGAACTAGGGGTGCTAAAAAACACATCCTCCAAAGACAGATATTTACATGGGAATGTGGCAGATAATTAATTGACATATTACTGATCTTGCTGGATTTTATTCTGCTTTACTTCCATAAATTGTAGGATCTTCTTTACTTTAACTTTGCCAGAAGATTTAAACTTTAAAAGCCTTGCCCTCATAATTTGCAAGTTAATTTATTTATAAAGAAAATATAAACGCTGCTTAAGCTAATTCAAATGAAATTAAAGGTAAAATAAGTAGCCAATCTTATCCCTGTCTGTAACCTACTAACACGGTAAGGAAAGCATCAGATGAGCTACCTGAGAAACTAACGTTACGTTTCCCCACTTTAAAACCAAACAAACATGGTGGTTCCGTGCCATGTTAATTTCTTTTGAAAAAAGTTGCATGTTATCACTTTTTTCGCTTTACAAAGCGCAGGCTATTTTAATTATTGTGATCAATTTGCGCCGTCAATCCCGGTGCATGCGCGCTTCATTTGCAGTCTAGACGCTGAGGGTCTGACTGCAGCGCTGAGAGGGACTCCTGAGGGACAACGCGGTTGGGATGGGGGAGGCGCCCCACGGCAGAGTAGGAACGATACATGCTTTCACGTAAGAGTCTCCAAAAGCCACCAGTGACACCGAAAAAAGTTGCCAGATTTGTCGCTAGAACGCTTTTTTTTAAAAATAGTCGCTGGAGGGGTCTGAAAAGTCGCTGAGTTGGCAACACTGCACCTGCGGCGCTGACTCGCTCTGCCTTTTTTTTTTTTTTCTTCCTCTTTCAGTCAAGAGGCAGTGATGACGGCGCGGCGGATGACGCAATAATCGCGCGACACAACTAATCGATGATGAAATTCGTTGCCAACGCTTTTAAAAGTCGATTTTTATCGATTCGTTGTTGCAGCCCTACATGGAACCATTATTTACTTCTTTTTGCTGCTTATTTCTCAATAAATAATATAAAGCAAGTTTATATCTGTGTTTATTTACCTTTTTTAACAAGTCTAAAGCCTTCACTCATGCGGCAAGTTATATACTTAATTTAACAGTTGAATCAGACTGTATCTGATATCAACTGATACGCTTAGCCGGCCTATCAGATTGGAAAAAACTGGATTAATGAATCTCTATCTAAAATGCCATATTAAGGTTAGATCTGACATTACGTCGGTCCAACTCTGGCTTCTTCAGCTCCAGATGCTTGTTTGAGCTGAAGATATGCAACCAGTTGCCGACATTGGTTTAAACCAATGCCTCAAATTAAATCTGCATAGATCCAATCTAGCAACAACTTTTCCATTTGATTAGTGAACAAAGGTTTGAAACTTATTTAATCACCTTTTTCATGACTTGCTCTTTATCCAGCCAAGTAAGAAAGGCAAGGTTATGACAATAAGAATGCAAATATGCATCCAATACATTTCTCACCAGTGGGGTGGAACTGCACAAACTCCATGTCCTGACACGGCAGGCCGGCTCTGGTAACCATGGCGTTCCCGTCTCCTGTGCTGGTGTGGGCGGATGTGCAGCTGAAATATGTTCTTCCATAACCCCTACAAGAAAGAATTTTAAACTCTCATCACCGCCACCACTCCTAACATGACAACACAGAGCTACAGCTTAAATGAGTGTCCTACCCAGTAGCGATGACGGTGTTCTGAGATCTGAAGCGGTGAATGGAACCGTCTTCCATGCACAGAGCAATTACTCCTTTACACACGCCGTCTTCCATCAGCAGATCCAGGGCAAAGTACTCCACGAAGTAGCTGGTGTCATAACGGAGCGACTGGACAAAGGGCAGGAAGAATGAGCAGAGAAATGCAGTAAAATGAGTATTAACAGAAACGACAAAGGGGGCGCTGGCGTTCTCACCCTTCCATAAAGCGTATGCAGCAGGGAGTGTCCCGTTCTGTCTGCCACGCAGCAGCAGCGGTGGGCCTGACCCCCCTTTCCGTATTTGAGACTCTGACCACCGAAGGCTCTCTGGTAGATCTTCCCTTCTTCGGTGCGGCTGAAGGGCATGCCGAAGTTTTCCAGCTGATAAAAGGTAAGAAACATGAATCCTCCGTGTAATTGAAGAGTTAAAGTAGCATAACATCAAGGATTAAGCCTTTATAATCGTCCTCAGTGGGCAGAACCACAAATGAGTAAGATCCAACCTCCACTACGGCTGCAGGTGCCTGTTCTGTCATGTAGTGGATGGCGTCCTGGTCTCCGAGCCAATCGGATCCCTTCACTGTGTCGTAGAAATGCCAGCGCCAGTCATCTTCCTCCATATTACCCAGAGCTGCGTTGATCCCCCCCTAAGAAGAGGAATAATTCACCAAACATTACCACTACTAAACTTTAACTACTTACAGCTGTGTGTCGCCACCATTACTCGCGTTCCCGTTAGCATAAACCATAACGTCAGCGTACCTGAGCAGCGACAGTATGAGACCTGGTGGGGAAGAGCTTGGTGACGCAGGCCGTGTTGAAGCCAGCCTCCGACAGGCCAAAAGCAGCACGAAGCCCTGCTCCTCCAGCTCCCACCACCACGGCATCAAACTCATGATCCACAACAGGATACTGGGTGGAGATCTGAAGGCAGACAAAGAAAAACATTGTTTTTAACTGGAAATAAAAGAGTTTGCATTAAAACTCAAAGTTCTTTTTAGACACAGAGTACTATTACTTAACTAAAGTACCATTTCCAAATATATGAAGGCCAGATAACAGAAATCATTGCGACTTTCAATTAAACAAAAGAAGAACTCACATCATCTTTTACTTTGGCATTGTTCTTCTTGCCATAGATGGAGAAGTGAAAGTTTCTGTAGCCCTGAACGGCAGCGGCGGGAACCTGCCAGCGAAACAGTTAAAGAGTCACATGAAGGACATTAAAGTCATCAACACAGCGACAGTAAAAATATCAGCAATACAGTTTGAGGCTGGCTTGTTAGTATATTAAGATACTGGCAACATTTCCCACTGATTTAATAAACAATTAAAGGTTATCGATTCAATCTGTGCTGCTCTCAGAAGATAGAAATGAATAATAACAATTAAACTTTATTGATCTCACATCGGAGGCAGTGGGCTGCCATCATGTGGCGCCGGGGGAGCAGTGTGGGGTTAAGGGTCTTGCTCAATCTCAGAACCTCAGGATTCCACGCTCTATGTCCTAACCACTAGGCCACCACTCCCACAACTAAATCCCATCACAAATTATTCAGCTTAAAATAGTGAATAAATTAACACTTAAAACTAATGAGGGGTGATAACCGCTTACAGACGACTCAGAAGTGCTTTAAGTTTACTAATCACTACATATATTATATATTGTACTGTACTGTTAATTTAGAATACAGAGTGAAATAATTATATAAAATCTTAAGGTGTGGTCTAGTCACCAATATGGGGTCCTTATCTGCGGTACTCTCGTTGTGGGGGTAAAAGCCTGGAACTCCCAAATGTTTAAAAACTCAAGGTCCAGATCACAACAGTCTGTCACTGTCACATTTTTGGCTCTGATTAAGCGTTTTGATTACCGGTAGGTTTTTTTTTTTTAAAGATAAAGGTAAGAGAAATATGTTTTATAGGATAAATAGGGATGATCTCTTAATCTTCTCTTAGATTCAAAACTATTATGTATATCAAAAGAAGAGATAAGGCATGTTTTTCTCTTTATCTTTTTGTATAAAAGACTATTAGAAAGAATATCAGATTCAGACAAATTCAGCAGAGCTAGGACAAACTTCTAAACAACAGAAACATATCCTGCAGATCTCCACAAAAAATATTTTTGAAATGTGGAGGCTCCAGTCCCAGCCTGGGGTGTTGGAATTAGATGCATTCCTGTAATCAATAAATCACACAAGTCTACTGGACAGAAATGTTAATATTTATAAATCTTTTTTTTTCCCTCTTTACATTAGAATCAAAACCCAGCATGCAGTGTTTCCATAAAAACAAGAATGTAATAATTTATCTCATTATATTTTGATTAATCATAATCGGTTTCCCATGTTTATTTACTGAGAGTTTTGAAAATAAAAAGCTGTAAAGTACTGCATTATATGTTTAAAGTCACCTGTCTATGTATCACAATCTGCTCTGCATCATGACTGGCTGACCCACCTGCTTATCAAAAATAAGAACAGCCAATTAAAGACTCAACTTTAATAGGATGAATGACTTAGTTGTTTTCAAGATATGCAAACTACATCAGCCAAATGTAAAAAAAAAAATAAAATATTTCAGTCTTGTGTTATTGTGTTGCATTTTAATTACTAATGCGTCAGCTAGGTTTTGTTATGCTAAATTATCAAAGGCAGTGTAGAAAGATGTTAATGGTAGATTTTTGTTCTTTTGTGAAAACAGATGTTTGCTTTTGATCTTTAAGTAAAGATAGCTTTGATTTTTAGGATGGGTTTATTGTTTTTTTTACAATTAAATAAAAACAATACTTTATTGATCCCAAAGAGAAAACAAATAATTACTATTATTGGTTTAGGACCACTTTATTTATCATTCATGAACTTCCTTTTAGCAGTGTCATGTATAGAAGCCTACAGAAATGAAGAAGGATATAGACAAATAAAACTGCTAGAAAAAAAGGGAAGCTTCCTCCTACAAGGGAATCCTGCAGCTATGGAACAGAAGATTTAATTTATGGTTTATGGGATAAAACCAACTACATTAAAACAGAAACAACAATTAAATTAAAACTGTCTTACGCACTTTTTATTACAACATGTGTAACTAGATTATAACTCATGAAACCCATGTTTTCTTTAAAGATATTCATCATCTTACAAAGAAATAAAATAGATAAGGTATCCATAAGTATGTGTTTTGTAAGCAAGTCCTGTTTTCAATAAAAATATCTTGGTAATGCATCCGCCATCTTGAAAGGTGGCAGTTTTGGTTTTATTCTTAAGTGGCACCTTCTCCTCCCTGGATGGCTGTGCTGTGTAGAGACACCTTTTGCACAAAATTCAAAATTTTAATCAGAAAACTGCATTTTTATTAGCTGTTCATGATTAACAAAGGAGTTAAATATTCATGATGGATGACACTGATGGGCTTCAGCAAAATAATGTCATCTAAAACTGCTGAAAAACTGATATCAAATATCAAAATTTGTCCTGCTTATTTATAAACAGGTCCTGGTCAGGTGTTCACATAAAATGTGTTCTCATTTTAGGATCATGCAAGTCCATCTATATGTTTGATTACAAAGTTTTAATTTGTAGTGCTTTTCTTCTTTAAAATATTATCTGAGAGTTACAATTTTTTTTAAATAATACATGTGACATATGTCGAATCGAACTGTTATTCTTAAATGGGATGGATAAAATGATGTTCTTCAAGTGTCACATTGAGACACCCTATGCTACATAATAGGTTACGCAAGCAGCAACTCGGCGGTTATGAAAGCAAGCTTCACTTGCTGCCAGCTCAAATATACTGACTCAAACTTACACACATATTCAAAAAATATATATGTAAAAATATTCCTAAATATGTTTGAATGTTCAGTTCTGGTTACTGACCGCTTTCGAGTTAGAGAGCACCCGCTTGGAGAGAAGACAGGACGCAGCGCGTACGGTCGCCATGTTGGTTGGAGTATGACTGGTTCCTCCGCTGGTGCTGGAGGAAGAAATACTTTGTCGGACTGGACTGAACCACTATACGAAGAGGGGTGGGTATTTGTTTTGAATCTAAGATTTCTTACTAATAAAAAATATGAAATCATTTTAAAGAAGATAATCCATTAAAATAGATCATATATTTTCATAAAAGAATGCACCGTTATTTTTGAACATGTTTATTTAGCATTATGAATGATAACTTACATAGACCTCCCTGTCATACTGAGTGGAGGAGAAAGCGTTTTTTTATTGTATAAGCGAAGTGTGTAGGAACAAATGCATAAGTGACCTAGGCATTTGATTCAAGGTGAGACTCAGCAGTATTTATTAAACAAAAAAGTAATGGTTTTATATATTTGTGGCTCAGCTATATTTCCCATTGTTGACTTAAAGTCCGATACTGCAGCTGCAAAGCTAAAGGTTAGCCAGCATGCTAGCTGATGCTAGCTTTGTTTTTGTTAGGCTAAAATGTCAAACCTGCTCAGTGTCCATCACCATAGACTGTAAAATAATTCTACAACTTTATTCAGCCTTGTTTGTGTTGTTACGGTTCATTTTCTAAATGCTTAAATAAATAAATATTTATATCCAATATCCAACACTTAAGTTTAAGCTTTTAAAAAGTAAAATAGCTATTTTTTTTTTTTTACAGTAACCTATCCTATTGGTCTTCACTTTTGCAGTTGGTTTTGTCATCAGAATCTAAAATAAATGTTTTTTCTATAATTATTCAAAACCCTGGTTAAATCTGTAAATCAAAATGCAAGCTGTAGAAGACACAAGTGAATATAAATGTAGTGTTTTATTTATTTATTTTTTAATCTTTCTAGCAGGCTCCATGAACAACTTGAATGACCCCCCCAGATGGAACATCCAACCTGACCCCAGAGGGAGGGAGGCGGGTGCTGGTGATGGCAACCAATGGAACTACGCCCTGCTGGTGCCCATGCTGGGACTGGCAGCATTTCGTAAGTTGAACAATGAAGATGCCTCTTTACTACTTTGGATTGGGTTTTTCTTTCTTTTTAATGATGAGAGAAACACTGGATTGAAAAGCAGACCAAGTATGTATGTTTTCCTGTCTTCCATCTCATCAAGCTTTACTTCCTGGAAGCTCTACACTTGCTTAAATCATTCTCAAAAATTAAACAATTGACCATATTCAGCAACAATATCTTTCCTGTGATTAAAATAGAAAATGGAATGTAATAGGAAAATATTTGGTACAACTTAAGCTAAAAAAAGTCTTTAATTTTTGATATAGTTTGATATAGTATAGTATAGAAATGCTTAACCCTAACCCTAACTATGGAAACTTAAAAAGTAGAAAATCCGTAATAATCTTATGTTCATATAGGAAAAAAAAAAATTCTGACTTCTAAATGAACGTTAGCTATTTTGTGTTCCTTTCTGATCTCAATTTTATTTTTAGTAGGACTGGATATACTGTAGATTCCAGTGCTCACTATGCTACTCTGGTTATAAATCTTGAAGATTAATATATATATATATATATATATATATATATATATATATATATTTATATATATATATAAATATATATATATATAAATATATATATATATATATATATAAATATATATATATATATATATATATATATATATATATATATATATATATATATATATATATATATATATATATAAATACTTTCATTGGTTGCTTTTTTAAGGTTGGATATGGACGAGGGATTCTCAGAATGAGATCCAGAAGATTAAAGTTCAGCACGACAAAGACATGTCCACGATAAAAAGTGAGATGGAGGCTCGTTACAGAGACACGCTAACAGAGAGCCGCCGGGCAGTGGCTACGCTTGAGCTAGAGCTAGAGAAGGAGAAACAGAGGGTGAAAGGATACCAGCAGGCGCTGGTCTCTCATAGCCAGCATCTAATCCAGGAACGGAAACAACTGGAACAGGTATTCCTCCATGACATTTTTACTATTCATTCATATTCTTATTTATTCTATTTATTGTGTTATTTAATATAAAACCTATTATTTTCTCTGTAAGGAGCGAGAGGCACTGAACACAGAGAAGCAGAAGTTGGTCAAATCTGGCGCTGCCGGTGCTGCACTGCGTGACGCCCTGGATAGGGAGACCAGCTGGTATCAGCGAGCCTCAGCCACTCTGAGGGAGCTGGAGGGTCTGCTGGTGGAGCGTCAGAACGCCTACTGCTCCCGCTTCCAGCCCCGAGATCATCGCCTGGAGATGGAGAAGAACATGCTGCTTAAGGTCGTCAAAGATCCCGTCGCTGCAGAGCTGGGTCTAGAGTCAGACTTGAAGGACATTTTTAAAAGAGACAAACACTGTGCAGATCTGATGAACATGGACAAAAGGAAGAATGGAAGCCTCATGTGGGTTTACTTGAAGTACTGGCAGCTGCAGATCACTCTGCAGAAACACAAAAGAGCTGAAGAAGCCATATTTGAAGGCAAAATCCAGAGTCTCCTAAAGTAACCCAGTTAAGCTGTTTTTTGGCATCCTGTTTTGCTTGGAAACGTGATTTCTGATAGGAATGTTATGCAAATACTGAAGAGGTCATTTTATTCAGATGTGTTTTTTTCCCATCATGCTTCTGTCTAACTCCCCTCTGAGTTAAGGGAGCATCATAAATACATATGTCAAGACTTGATAGCTTTAATTTAACTGGTAAGTTAAAATGCACTTAGGAGAATCAGGTGGCATCTGATGGCACTTTTAAGAGAATAAAAAACATTTTCTTTTTAAAATTAAGTTAAAATATTCTCAGCATTTACTTATAACTTTTTTAACTTCCATTTTAAAGACAAGGGAAAAAATGCGTCTGTTATTTTAATACTTTGAGAATATTTTGCACACAATTCAGAATGAAGTGAAACGCTAAATATTATTCTGTTGATAAAATGGTAATGTTCTGCATATTTTCTTCGTCAAATGAATTTTAGTGGGACGTAGGGAAACCTTATCACCTGTCGCTGTCATTTCCTCAGGTTTTAATCTTTCTCAGTGGGATTATTTCATCAAATTGAAAAGATATGTGTCTTATTAAATTTGACTTCAGGAAAAAAAATCTTGGGGACAGCACTTTATCTAAGTTGCATGTTAAAAAAGGAAGAACAAATCTTTAATACTAAAAAATAGCAAAAACACTAGAATTCTCAGATGGGTCTGCACTGAAAGGCACACGTAAAGCGACTTCATGCACACGTGTAGCTTTTTTCATGGGAAAACCTGGCCGTTGTGTTGTTTTTCCAGAACTGTGTAAAATGTGCTGTCATGAGTTCACATGTACTGACCACCATGTGCAATCCTCTGAATGTATTTTTTTCAATAGATTTTTTTTTTCAGTTGTCTTGTCTTTTTTTTTTTTAACCTTGCAAGCAAGGTGGATTGTCGTGAGATTTGCAAATTCTCAAACCCACGAAAATACATCTTGCCAGGAACTGAAAGGTGTATTTGTTGTTGATACAGAAATGTTCGGGATCAATCAAATGCAGCGACCGGTGTGACGTCAACGTATCAACTAGAGGGGCAGCGCTGAAGTAAAACAAACACCGGTTTTAGCTAGAATACCCTCTATTTCTTCTATTTCATTCGGAAAAGTTAGGACGAGGCTGTGTTTTTTTACCTTTGTGGATGGGTATATGGTTACACATTCCTCCAGACCATATTTGCGAAGAGAGTTTACTCCATTAAACAATCTCTCAGCTGCTACTGTGGCTGTGATTGGCTAAAAACTCACATGGGAGAAACGCACCCAATCAGCTCAAGAATTGTACTGACTGTCCCTCCCTTTTGCAAACACTTTCTAGTGGATGCTTTCCAGATCCATACACGTAGTTCAATTTGACTTCTACACAGTTTAAATCTGGATTATGCCAGGTTAGTGTTTTTTTCTTCCTTCAAACTATACATTGTCCAGAAGGGGGCGCTCTCTGCATTTTGTGTGCAGATCTTTTAATCCTGAGACTAGATGTTTGCAATATTTGCATGAGTAGATATAAACAGAATTATGTCAAAATTGAAAGTTAAAAACGGTTATATTTCATATTAGACCAGGCCATACTGTTTAAACCAACATGTTTATTCCTACATTTGTAATCAAAGCTTAACACGACTTTTGTTATAGTTTTATTTTACCAGTATAAATCATAGTTTGCAAGATTATTGCATTTTTGAATAGTAATGTTATTATAGATATAAACTAGGCAGATCTTGTTGCCTATTATTATTAGTCCAGTTCTCTGAAAATTACAGTGTAGGTCAGACAGTTTAGAGTTTATTTGCAGAGCTGCAGTTTTAATCTCATTACTCCCTCCTTGGTACTCGATGAGAGACTTCTCTTGGAGAGGACATCAGACCCGAGGCTCTGAAGTTCCCTCTGACCGGCTTGCACAGGTCCTGAGTTTTGGCCGAGGTTTCCTCTTTGCCTGCTGTAATATCTCTCCTGGCGGGCAGCACTGTGCAGGTGGAGAGCGGCAGCTGGAACTCTGTCATGACTCCCCTCTCCCTGCCCAGCTTCAGTGTCTGGTTGGGGCTCCTCTCAACCATTAGATGGACCAACTGCTGCTGCTTATAACTCTCTGCGAACTCTGTCGGTCTCTGACAGGGTCAACCTGCAACACAGCAAACTCATTGTAAAACTGCAACAAACAATTCTCTCTAGATTATATGTTAGGTTTTGTCATGTATTTCAAAGAAGAAATACATGACAAAACATAACAGATTTTTGATATTTAGATGATAAACTTCCCATCAGACAAATCAACTTTGTGAAAGGGTATCGTTTATTATTTGTAGATCAGGCATCATAAACTTTAAATGTTGCCATGGGCGTAGGTTTGCATAGGGACCATAGGGACATGTCCCTACCAAAATTTTGAACCGACCTAATTGTCCCTACCAATAATTGGAGCAACATGTTTATAATTTACAGCAGTAGTTGTTGCAGCAGTGGCTTCTTTTCCTCTCGCAGCTCCTCTGCCTGGTCTCTCCTGTCCCTTTCACGCAGCAGCGCATGGAACTGTGCTGTGCTGTTTAACTCAACTCTCATTGGTTGTTCTGCCTTAAGTTCCGCCTTCCCTCTCTCTGATTGGCTGTTTTCTAGTCTGCGTGTGCTTGGAGCACAACATTGAAAATGTATTCACACTAGAATGCTGCGGTTACTACAATTAATATTAGGCTACAAAACTAGTCCCAATTAAAAAAAAAATGAATATCATGTACACTAAAAAACAAAAACCTTTTTTTTTCCTGTTATAAAGCGAAATATTCTGAGTCAGCCAGGAGTAAAGACAAGAACAAACAGAGGAAGAATATTAATATGGATTTCATCTTACATAGATTTCCACACATTCTATAAGTAAATTAGTACAAACATTAATGTCTGGTAAAAATGCTTGAATCTGGCTGTTTATTTTGTATATTATTAAATTACAGATAAGATAGTGTTATATTGTCTTTTATAATTGTTAAACGTGATTTTATATTTGAATACACTCATTCTACGGCTTTAAATCATATACATACACATATATACATATATATGTATATATATGTGTGTATATATATATACACACATATACACTATATTGCCAAAAGTATTTGCTCACCTGCCTTGACTCACATATGAGCTTAAGTGACATCCCGTTCCTAATCCATAGGGTTCAATATGACGTCGGTCCACCCTTTGCAGCTAGAACAGCTTCAACTCTTCTGGGAAGGCTGTCCACAAGGTTTAGGAGTGTGTTTATGGGAATTTTTGACCATTCTTCCAGAAGCGCATTTGTGAGGTCGCACACTGATGTTGGACGAGAAGGCCTGGCTCTCAGTCTCCGCTCTAATTCATCCCAAAGGTGTTCTATCGGGTTGAGGTCAGGACTCTGTGCAGGCCAGTCAAGTTCATCCACACCAGACTCTGTCATCCATGTCTTTATGGACCTTGCTTTGTGCACTGGTGCACAGTCATGTTGGAAGAGGAAGGGGCCAGCTCCAAACTGTTCCCACAAAGTTGGGAGCATGGAATTGTCCAAAATGTCTTGGTATGCTGAAGCATTCAGAGTTCCTTTCACTGGAACTAAGGGGCCAAGCCCAGCTCCTGAAAAACAACCCCACACCATAATCCCCCCTCCACCAAACTTTACACTTGGCACAATGCAGTCAGACAAGTACCGTTCTCCTGGCAACCGCCAAACCCAGACCCGTCCATCAGATTGCCAGATGGAGAAGCGCGATTCGTCACTCCAGAGAACGCGTCTCCACTGCTCTAGAGTCCAGTGGCGGCGTGCTTTACACCACCGCATCCGACGCTTTGCATTGCACTTGGTGATGTATGGCTTGGATGCAGCTGCTCGACCATGGAAACCCATTCCATGAAGCTCTCTGCGCACTGTTCTTGAGCTAATCTGAAGGCCACATGAAGTTTGGAGGTCTGTAGTGATTGACTCTGCAGAAAGTTGGCGACCTCTTCGCACTATGCGCGTCAGCATCCGCTGACCCCGCTCCGTCAGTTTACGTGGCCTACCACTTCGTGGCTGAGTTGCTGTCGTTCCCAAACACTTCCATTTTCTTATAATACAGCTGACAGTTGACTGTGGAATATTTAGGAGCGAGGAAATTTCACGACTGGATTTGTTGCACAGGTGGCATCCTATCACAGTTCCACGCTGGAATTCACTGAGCTCCTGAGAGCGACCCATTCTTTCACAAATGTTTGTAAAAACAGTCTGCATGCCTAGGTGCTTGAATTTATACACCTGTGGCCATGGAAGTGATTGGAACACCTGATTCCAATAATTTGGATGGGTGAGCAAATACTTTTGGCAATATAGTGTATATATATTGTATTTTTACAATTTTGGTATAATTACTGATCTAAGTGGGTTACTCTGTCGGGGAAAGGCACATTTTACATTTATATTGCTGTATGTTTTAAAGTCTCTATACTCCAGTTAATGAAATAAATTACATACTAAATTAGTTGACGATTATTGAAATAATCAATTAATATATTTAATTTTTTTCAGCCCAGGATAAAATACATGAAATGGGCTACACAGAGTAACTACAGCCCAGATGTTCAACTTTTATAGTGAAGTTAATATTTTAATGAATGTATTATTTTTGCTTGATACAGAGAGAGCATAGTAGGTAAAATATAAGAGTGGGGTTTACCTCTGCACAATTCTATATCTTCAAAGGAAAATCCTGTATTTACCTTCTCTCTTAGTCGTTCAAATGAAAAGATTTTCAAAGTGGAAAACAGTCCTAATTCCACATTCATCAGAGCTGGTGATACTTCAAACATTAATAAAAAGCATCTAATGAGTGTAGTGCTTTTTAAAAATGTTATTAATGTAGCAAAATGATGCTTTTCTCTTTTAACAATGAATTCCTCTTATCAGTACGGATGCTCACATCGAGCATAAAAAAGGGCATGAATATTGCATAGCACCAATGACACCCGACCAATAGTGTCCCTACCAAAGTTCAAATCAAACCTACGCCCTTGAATGTTGCACATGTATGGTTTATTTAAATGGCTGAAATTCTTTAAGGGTTTAAAAAGAAGGTTTATTCTTGTTCTATCATTCTTATTAAACAGGTTTATTATATTTGCAGATGAAGGTCTGTCAGGGGTTTGTTTCTGTAAAACATGTAAATCTCTTAGATGAGGGAAGATAGATTTATTCTTTATCTGAATGTAAGTTTGTCTTGTTGGTAATCAGTTTAGCTTCATTACATTTTTAAAACCCAATTTCCTTCAGTCAATATAAGCTTCATGCATTACCCGTTTCTTCCATTTCTTTTTATGCCACGCATTTGATAGATGGTTCAATGTAAAGTGACTGATAAATAAGGATATAAAGTAACAATGAAGTCAATGAATCCTTGTCATCAAAAAACAATAACAAAATGTTTCAGAAACTTCACTGAAGAGGACGGGCATAATACAGCGACTATATAAAATCATTTGTAGAAAATGTTAAATACCACTGGAAGACAAATATGTCCATAGTGTAGTAGTCCTGTGTAGGGGGGGCTGTTAACATAGAAGCTAAATTTAAACTTCTCAGAAGAAAACAAGGTAGGTGATGCTCTCTGGAGAGCAAGGTCTTCATCTTCATGGCAGCACATCTAAATTTAGATTTCTTTGACTGTTCTAAAGAATGGCAGATTTAGGTTTAAAACAATCAGTATTCTAAGAAATTCTTTTACTCAAATGTCACAATACAAAAATAGAAAGTTAATGCTAATTAAGATAAAATTGTTTTTTTTTTCAATGGTTTGTCTTAAAATTGTTTTCTGTTTTTCCAATCCCAGTAATAGGTGAAAAAGTTTTTATTAGTGTAACAGAAATCCAATCCTTATCAATTATTTTAACAGCTTTTAACATATTTCCATTGATACAAACCATTTAGCTTGGATGACCTCAGTGTCATCACCCTAATTTTTATCTCCTTCAACAGAGATCCTGAGGTATATCTCTACAGTTATGCTACTCTAGACTTCTATCTCTATTCTCCAATTCAGAAGAATCTCTAACGTTCTGCTCTCTCTGCTTTTTCTCATATTATCTTCATCTCGTCTGTTCCTGTTTCGCTGTGACTCCACCCTGGAGAGAAATATCAGCTGTGCTGCTGCCATCGACACCTTTGTTTATAGATGTTCAAGTTTGGCCTGATGTTCAGTGTAGTCCTGTTTCTCTGACTGTGACTGGCTGGATGTGCTCTCTTTCATCCTGGCTTGGAGCTCATGTGCCTGGCTGTGTGTTTCCTGGACAGGGCCGCCTGTGGAGCTGGGTGACAGTTGATTTTTGTATCTCTGCCTCTGTCTCCTTGAACCCCAGTCGGCTTCTGCATATGGCCGCTCACACTGAGCCTTGTACTGCTGGAGATTTCTTCCTGTTAAAAGGGAGTTTTTCCTCTCCACTGTTGCTACAGCCATTCTTAGTGTGAGGGATTGCCTTCAAGTCAATGAGTCGATGCAATCAACTGGTTTTCTTAGATAGAAAACTTTGAACCAATCTGGCTGGAGGATCTGGTTGAATTGTCTCTGTAAATTATCTTGAGATTAAATGTTTTCTGAATTGGCACCATATAAATAAATTGAATAGTTTCTGAAACAACTTCAACTAGCGCTTCTTCAAAACATTATTAACTCCTGTCAGAAAAAAAAAACAGGTTTCTACATGTAAATGATTGATTTAAATCTAAATCTGTTGGTAGCGATTTATCAACTCAAATAATAAGCAGCAGCCCTCAGCGTTAAACTCACCTGTACTGAGGTCTCGTTTCCAGAACCACATTCAGCCAGCAGGAGATGTAGCTCTCCTTCTTCCACAGATTGTCCTCCTGAAGATCACAGTAGGAGTTCACCAGGTAGCTGCCTCTTCTGCTCACACAGTGCATGGTAACGTCCGTATCAATGCCTCTGATTAAACTGTCGACACTGAAGCTAAATGAAAATTAAGGCAGAAGAACATAACAAACAAGTCCTAAATGATGTTTGCGTCAGTATCGAGCATCAACAAATCTGAGATGAGTTCCTCTGTGCTGCTATGTCTTAAATGTTCCGTCTTGTTGCTATATTTACTCCTCTGTGTCATATTGTTGTGTATTTGGTGGATGCCCCCCCTCAGGCTTTCTGGAGGTTAGTTTTCATCTGAAAAGGAGCTTTGAAACGGCTTCCATGACGTGAGTGGGAAGGATTAATGGAGCAAATTCAATAGCCAGTTAATGTGCTTGGAGATAGCAGCTTTGTGCCTCCATTTAAACAAGTAAAGCTGGTAAAAGGAACGGAAGTAACCCTGTTCTTCTAGGTTTACAGATCTGAGCTGAAAGAAACATTAAATGGATTAAAGTGAAATCTGTTTAAGCTGCTGCTGATCAAATGACTGCCTGCATAGTTGAAGTCAGAACCTTTAATCAGAACCGTTTTCCTTACACACCAGAAGACCAAAGCCTTATCAACCTCTTTTTGCAGCTTACTAACACTTTATATTTTCTGTTTAAAAAAAACAACAGAAACTTGAATACTTTTTATTGGACTAACGTTGTAATATTGACACAAACTAATGTATGGCGGGAAAAGGAAAATGACACTTAGATCTGCCTTTTACAAATATAAATCTTAAAAGTGTGTTAAAAATCTGTTTTTGACCTTAAGAGACCAGATGAAGCTGCAAAGTTGAAAGCAGGGTTATAAAACAACATCCCTAACCCGGGGCACCAGTCAATCCTGCCCTGTAAAATGTAAAAGTGCCAGGAGCCTCCAACTAAAGTGGCAGGGTAACGAGAGCCTCCATCAGAGAAGCAGCCAAGTGTCTTCAGTCAGGAGCCTCTATAAGACAGACCACTAGAGGAGATCTTTCCCAGCTACAGCAATATCTACAGTAAACAAATGAGAAAATCCCTGCAATGTGTTACAACATTTAAATTCCATTTGGTTTAGTTAACATTGAATTGGATGGAATGGATTCTCTCCTGAAGTGGAATGACCTACCAGCAGGACAACTATTAATTGCTTCCAAAATCTGCAGTTTTCAGATCAAAGCCATCATTAAAGAAAGTCATAAGCATCTCCGTGTAGAAGTGTTCACAAAAAAACATGCAGAGAACACAGAAACACTGCGGATGAAATGAAACAAAAACTTAATTTTTTGGCCTAATATAAAATTGCTACTTGCCCACATCACCATGTTTGTGAAACACAGTGGTGGCAGCGTTATGCTAAGGGGGCGATTTTCTTCAGCAGAGACCAGCTAGATTGATGGAAGTTAGGAGTACAGCTGCAAGAAGCTGTGGAGGACGTGAAACCGAGGTAGAGGTTCAGCTTCCTGCTGACCCTGAGCACACAGCCAGGGCTGCTATGGAGGGGCTTAGATCAAAGCATGGTCATCATGATCAAGGAGGGTGTGGTCAGAGTCAGCAGATCCTTTCCAACCAATATGAATAATCATGTTTTGTAAAAAAATAAAATAAATAAAAAATACAATTGCAGTCTGCAGATTTGACAAGCTAGCAGGAACCAACCTGCAAACCTGTATTTGCAGGTTGCTTCCTGCTAGTTTTGTTTTTATAATAGCTATAAAAGTTATCGATGTAATTTGCTTATATTTTCGAAGAAGGTGTGTTTTGTGACTGACAAAGTTACAAACAAATTTTATGGAATTCTTTTTTAACCATTAAAACTTGGTAAAGATCCAGATAATGTTATCATAGCTATAGGGGTAAGGAAGGCCAGCTCTGTGATTGGATGCCCTCTGGACGCAGTGCAGGAGGTGGACTGAAACTAAAATAACATCTCTGTTTGATAATGTTTCCCACCCCATGCATGAAGCTGTTGCTGACCTGGAAAGCTCCATCAATGGAAGGCTGGACCCTAAATGCACCAGGGAGCGTTATCACAGATCCTTCCTCCCAGCAGCTGAGACTCTATAACCATCATTGTTCTCAACAACCTCAATAAGTTACATTCATCCTGTCTTTTTGTAGTTTCTATCTCAGTTAAATAACATGCTGCTGTTATATTTGCACATCTCTGGCGTTGCTGTCATTTTTCACATTTCCACTACTGTACTGTGCTGTCCACAGCTGCTGTTTATTTTCTATTCTCCAGATACAGCGTATTTATATTGTAGAAACACAGTACAATACAATACTCTATTTGCTTTCTTTTCCTATCTGTTATTTTTATACTTTTCTAAGGTCCAAATTTGTGTGACCACTTCTACTATAACCCTTTGCTGTTGTAAACAATTTCCCCATTCTCAATATGGGCATAAATGTGCTGCTTGGTTGCTTTTTTAGATAGTTTTATAACATCCTACTTTTTAGACTAGACTCCCAAAAAAGTACTTTAAAGTTTCTGGTTGTAGTGATAGCCTTGAGACTGAAAAAAATAAAGGCTTCTAGTCTCTTTTTAGTTAATGTCCTCCAGCAGAGCAGCGTTGGAGCTGCAGCAGACTCCACAGGAAGCAGACCTCACCCTGAGCGTTTTTCCACGGGAAGACTGGCAGCGTCGTTCTGATCAGACTGAAACTGAATCTGAGTTTGATGGAATAATGTGGCAGAGAGAAGATGCTGGACTCCGACCAACTCAAACTCAGCTCTGTGACACCAGAGTCAGCAACACATGACTCCATCTGAACACATGTTGCCGTGGTGACAGGGGGTGTACATTTTCCAAACAAATTAAGCTTCCACCGTATCAAACATGCATATCTTAACTCAAGTGGGTACATACCCCACGGTCTTACCTCAACTCATCGCCAAAGAAACCCTTTTTTTTTCAAGGAGGCACTAATCAGATGATTGATAATAACAGCACTACCAATAAAAACAAATGATTTAGTGAGTTTTATTGTGAAAGGAGAAGAGGATCATCACCTAAAATCCAAGAACAAAGGAGAACAGAAAAGGTCCACTGTTTTTGTTCATTCTTCTGATATTCTTCTATGGGGCTGGTTTAATCACAAAAATGATGTCTAAGAGACAACAAACATGGTCCTGGAAAAACAAAAACACGCCGACATGTCGTTGACCTCAGCAGAACCAAACCCGCTCCCCATCAGTAGCTGAACCAGGCAGGTCTTTTCCTCGGCCGCTCCACTATCCTCTTCTCTCTGTCCTGCTCGCTCGGCGTTTCCCCCTCATACAGGACGACCGTCTCCATGGCCGGGGCCCTCAGGGGGCCGCCTTCCATTTCCCTCATCTGATGACGAATCAGAGCGGTCTCCCTGCTAACCTTGGCGTAACAGAAGCCACACAGGATGTGTTTCTGCTTCAAGTGGCCGCACTCTGGACATGGCTCAATGTTGTTCTGGTTAAACAGACAGGAGAAGCAGAGAGATGAAAAAGTTCTCCTAGAAATGTTTGGTGCATTATAAAGTCATATTTAATTATAGATAAATAACATTTATTATTCCTTTTTATAAAATGAAAAATGTCATTCTAATTGTATGATTGAAATGTTACATTTGACTGTTTTTCTATCTCGGTGACTTTCCTGGTCCTCCATACTAATGTGCCATGGCTGCTAAATGTACCTGAACTTTGATTAGTTTGCTTTCAGATCTCCTTCTGGTTCTGTTGACCTCTATGGTGCGTCTCTTCTTGGGGGCCGCCATCCACAGGATGCTGTCCATGAGCCCGGGGCCCTGCTCCTCATCCTGCTGGGATTCCTGGTCAATCTGGGGCAGAAGGCCGGGGCCGTTCACTGCCAAACAAGGAGCTTAAGGGCAGAAAAAGAAACATTGAGTAAGGAGCTACACAGCTGACAACATGGAGAATCAGCAGAGGTAGTATACCAACATGCAACCTTGTAATTACAAAATAGTGATAGGTCCAGCAACACCGAAGCGTTGGTGCATGCGTTGAGCCCATAGAACAAAACACTGTATCGGTAGACGTGTCCTTTCAAGATTGTCATGTGACCGATACAGGATTTGTTTCTAACTGACTGACAAGCTTAACTGAACTGTCAACATGAGGCATCTGCTAAAAAAAAAAGTGTTTCATCTTCTGCGGTTTAATCATTAAAATTATCAAGAATTTTGGAGCAGCCTATAAGGAACAGGAACGTTTCAGCTGTTGCGTTATTTTAATTTTCTCATTGTGTCATACTTTTCCTCTCAGTTATCACTCAAGTTATCTGAATTAAAGGTAATTTCAAATTAACTCTTAGTTTATATAATGTTTTTACTTTACCTATTGTTTTAAAAATATGATTTAAAATCCTGGTCCACAAGCATCCTCATTCACATTTTCCCCTTAAATGTTTACATTATGATATATGTTCATATTATTTATTGGCTGCATCTAAAAATATAAAAAAATACTTTAAATTTAAACATAGATATGAAATAATACAATATAACCTAGAATAACTTTAATGATATAATTGTAGTAGGTCATCAAATCAATTCAGTTTAGTCTATTGAATAAGCTGTAGTGTCTTTAAATGTCCAGCAGGTGTCAGTATTCTGTCAGACAGTATCGATGCAGTTTGGCAATGTGTCGAAACGCTTCAAGATGCCTCATTAACCCATCACTATATATACACAATATTTATTACAAAATGAATCGGAATAAGTTTAATCAGTCTGTAAGTTTTTGTTACAATGTCCGCAGCCTTTATTTATGCGGGTAAAACTCACCCGCCTGAGTTTCCAGTCCGGTTAACTGCAGAAGTCTGCTTTCAATGCGCAGCAGAGAAAACCTGAGACTCTGCACCAAAGCAGGTAAATTCATCATTTTATATCAGCGCCTTTCTTCTCCTTCAAAACATGACAAAACACCTCACGGTCACGCAAGCGCCTTCTTCCGGCTTCTTCTTCTTCGTCTTAGCGGCGGGTTGAGTCTGTACGTGACCACCATCTAGTGGACACAATAATCAATTACATTTCTTTAATCCAGAGTTTTCTGCTTGAAGGTTGTTCACCTCGTCTCCTCTCTTACTGAATCACTAGCTAGAAGTTAAATGATGCAAAAACCGTCATATATGGATAATATTTTGATACAAACTAATTGATCCAGCCTTTAAATTTATCAGACAAAAATCTCTAAAAGACTAGCTCTTTTAAAAGCAAAAAGAAGTTGCATTTATTAACAGCAGTGGTGGGAAGTAACAAAGTACATTTACTTGATTACTGTACTCAAGTACTTTATTTGAGTCTTTTTGAGGGGGTACTTATAACTTTCCCTCCACTATATTTCAAAGTCAAACATTGTACTTTGTACTCCACTACATTTATAGAAAGCTGATAATTACTTGTTACTTTTGGCTCAGCTTAGCTCTTTAATCTGCTGTTGCTGTTGTTCTTTCTTGAAATGCAGTTTCAGCAAGTATGATAGCAGCCACTGTTTTAGAGATTTGCATGACATTCCACAAATGTGAGAAACTCAGGGCAGATATTACTATCATATATTATTATATTATTTGTAGTTTATACATTTTATAAGGCGTTAGTAGTATCTATGTGCCCAACTTATTCAGTAGGATGATTTCTCAAATCAGAGTTTCAGTTTGTCTGTGGTAATGGATTCAACCTGAAACCTCTATCCTAGTGGAAGTGGAAGTAGAATTAAGGCACTCCTGTTTTATTTTTTTGGTTTGTTTTTAAAGAAACAATAAAATACTTTTCCTTTTTGTGGCGTTCTTATGCAGAAGATCTTTACAGGTGGGGTAGAATCTGTAGCAGGTGGCTCTATGCATCAATACAGCAGGTGGTTTCTGAAAACTACAAGGTTATTTAAAATTATACAGAAATGCACCGATATCAGAAAATTAGATTTTTACTTCTGAATAATTAAGTATTTTGAAAAGTGTGTACTTTAATACTTTATCTTAAGTATATGTTTGACCAAGTACTGTACTTTTACTTGTAGTTGAGTAAGATTTGACTATGAATATCAATACTTTTACTCAAGTACTAATGTTGAGTACTTCGTCCATCACTGATTAACGGTGCATCAATTGAAAGGTCACTAATAATAGACGCACTTTTACATCTAACCGTCTAATACTTTGGTTAAAGATGCAAAATACAATTTAATGTAACAACTTATCTTCTTAGTTACGTAAAGCATTATATGTTTCACTATAGCCTTATATTGAATTGTTCTTCAGTTTTGCTTTATCCCACTATCTTATATCAACTTGTCTCTACACTATTTTTCTTGCGTCAAAGTGGATTAATAACTACATTCATATATTGCATCTACATCTGAATTAAGTCTTTTTATTTTTGAAAAACATCAACATTGTAGAAAAAACAAATGTGATCAAGTTTCATTAATTGACGCTTTACTCCTGTTAAACTTATAAGCTATGATTTCTTTGTCTAAAGCAAATATTATTTGTTTGCCTTTCGCTGCTATCTGTTAAAAAAACACAAGGCAAGAATTTATTTATTAATTCTTTATCAATAATTTTTAGATGCAAAAACATGGCAAAAAAAAAAGAAAGCGAATAACAATTAACATTTATAAAAGATATAAAACAGTGTAGAAATCTGGCATGTTTTATTAATGATTTTATTTTTCTACGCATATCAATAAGCTATTATTTGAATATTTCGAAATATTTATCATCATTGCCTGAATGTAATTCCCATGTAATGTATTCAGTTGTCCCATAGAGGGCGCTACATTCCCTAAAGGGTATTTGGATTCGCTTCTGCACCTTGGCATAGAAGAAGAGGATCAAAATGGCGGAGCGTGGCTACAGTTTCTCTCTCACCACATTTAGGTAAACTTTATGAAAATAACTATAGAAACCTCTCAAGCGAGCTAAAGTTTGGATGTAGAAATGTTTTCCAGAATGGCGGGTGGATTAAGAGCCTACTCTGTGGACCGTTTAGATACTGAGAGGCGGTTCAGCTGCGCCTGGATTTGATGCACTGTCATTGTCGTCCAATGAATCGCCTGTTAGCTTAGTGGCTAACTTTAACATTTTCCCTTTTTAGTTATTTTATATTAATTATAATCGGGTAGAAAGTTAAGAATGGCAAAATAAGTAGTTAGTCCTTGTGAAGAGTCGAGTGCGGCTGTCTTGAAATCTAACTTTAACTCAAGTTTGTCAGTTTCTTAGTTTACTTTCAGTTTCGTCTCTATCTTGTAGTTCATTATTTAGCTTATAGTTTTGTTTGCATGTAGAGGATATTTACTCCCCTCCAGCTCTCATAATGATGCCTAATCGTTGTGTTGTCACCCTGCAGCCCTTCAGGTAAATTGGTCCAGATTGAATATGCGCTGGCAGCTGTAGCAGCAGGAGCTCCTTCTGTTGGCATCAAAGGTAGGAGTTCATTAGATACCATCTCCTACTTAAAGAAATGGTGCCACTGAGCTAAACTAGTAATTACGGTATTTGACTTGGAGTTAAAGCTTGTTGGGGTCACTATTGTGTTAATTTTTTTTGTTACACTGGATGTTTTGTTGCAGCTACAAATGGAGTTGTCCTGGCCACAGAGAAGAAGCAGAAGTCCATCCTGTACGATGAGCAGAGTGTCCACAAAGTGGAACCCATTACCAAACATATAGGAATGGTTTACAGTGGTATGGGACCTGACTACAGGTATGCCAACCTTCCACTGAGAAACATTTCCTAAGCCTTTCTAAATGAACTGCTGTGCTCTTTATAATATCTCATGTATAAACATTTTTATGTTATGTTTCATTGCAGTTTTGCTGGTTAAAGCCTCTGTTACACATTGACTATTTAGCAACATTAACCTCCCAGAATCTTCTAAAATGCTGGCATATGTTGAACTTTCCATGTATTTTTTCAATTTTGGGTGAATACATAATGTTTTCATAACAATTCTAGAGTGTATGTCCATCGAAAGCCTTACTTGTTCATAACGCACGGCAGCGTAATGGCCATGAAATGATGCACAAAGGGAGAGCAATGCACCCAGCATGCATAAAGATTTCTTTAATCAGCGTATTGACCTAGCTGCTGTTTATCGCCCAGCAAAAAACTAATGAATAAATAAATGAATAAAAAAAGAGAGAAGGTTTGCAGTCACAGCAGATTCAGCGTCATGTCTGCTAGGAAGTTTGTTGGCCGTGGTCGTGAACGCAGGGAATATCCATCACACTCACCTCCTCGCTCACCCTATGATGGCGATGAAGTCTGGAAGAGAACTGACGTTTTCCTCCTATGAACCCCCTTTTATACCAAAATGCTGCCATTTTGTTCAGTGGTCGTCTGGAACACGTCAAATACGTTTATATACGTTGGAAAGAAGTTTTTGATAAGTTAGGCACAAATTACTGCTAGTTTTTGGATAAGCTAGACGCCACAACTTATGAGTAACTTACACTTAACATATGTCAACGATCAAATAACCTACCTGTAATATATGCATGGCATATGTTGAGAAATTTTGAGCATTACACCATGCTCAAAATTTCTCAAAGTACTCGCCATGTGTCGAGGTGTGCCAGCGTGTTTCAGTGTGCTCATAACTTATACAACACATAACTCTAACTTATCCAACCTATGCAAGCATTTTTGACAGATTTTTCGTATGTCAGGCATACGCTGTCTGAATCGTCAAGTTGTGACAAGGGCTTTACCTATTTGTTATTGATCAGCTCAGTCGTCACCGGCAGAGAGTAACAGGTTTCTCATCATGACAGGGTGTTGGTGCGACGAGCCCGGAAGCTGGCACAGCAGTACTATCTGGTGTATCAGGAGCCAATTCCTACAGGCCAGCTTGTCCAGAGGGTGGCATCTGTAATGCAGGAGTACACACAGTCTGGGTACGTTACATTCAGTATCTTTACCATTTTGTTTTGCACTAGGAGGTGATGAATACCCCTTTCAGAATATATTATCACTGTTAACAATCCAACTTATTTAAAAATATGTAGGTAGACTGATACCTAATCAACAGCGATGTTTAAAACCCCATTATTGTGCAATGCAATAACAATTCATTACATTAGAATGAGATGGTTTTTCATTAGTTTTATCACTGTGACCAGAAGTTGGTAGAATACCCAAACATTTAACTCAAGTGTAGCGGTGACTAGGGCTGCAACTAACGATTATTTTGAAAATCGATGAATCGGCCGATTATTTTTTCGATTAATCGATGAATCGGACACAAAATATTTTTTTTATATTAACCTCTTTATTCCAAAATAAACATTTTAGACAGAACAAACAAGCACACAAGTACAGGTTTCTCATTAACTGTACTGGTGCAATATGAAAAATAAATGTTTGTTTTAAAACTACGCAAACTTACATTAGAAATGTACCTGTACATCCACAAAATATAGGGTACTTTGTTTCATAAAGCGCAAAAAAAGACATTTTTGTTTTAAAAGCCCCTAAGGGGTTCAAACAATAGGCCCCCCCATTTCAACAAATGAGGTTTTTTTAGACTAGAAGAGTTCTGCCTTTTAAGACAGGAAAGTATAGCAGTTAAAGTTGCTGCTTGAGAAAATACTGAACCATAGAGATAAAAATAGCCCTGTGATTCAAATTATAAATTGTATTTGGAATAAAAATGAGAGAACTAGGGGTGCTAAAAAACACATCCTCCAAAGACAGATATTTACATTTAATTAATTGACATATTACTGATCTTGCTGGATTTTATTCTGCTTTACTTCCATAAATTGCAGGATCTTCTTTACTTTATCTTTGCCAGAAGATTTAAACTTTAAAAGCCTTGCCCTCATAATTTGCAATTTAATTTATTTATAAAGAAAATATAAACGCTGCTTAAGCTAATTCAAATGAAATTAAAAGTAAAATAAGTAGCCAACCTTATCACTGTCTGTAACCTACTAACACGGTAAGGAAAGCATCAGATGAGCTACCTGAGAAACTAACGTAACGTTTCCCCACTTTAAAACCAAACAAACATGGTTACTCATCCTGCTGATCAGCTCTCTTCTCTGCCATTGAAGGCTCCAACCTGTTTTCTTTTCAGGTGCTGCGTCATAACAGTGGTGCTTCCGTGCCATGTTCATTTGTTTTTACAAAAGTCGCATGTTACGACTTTTTTCACTTTACAAAGCGCAGGCTGTTTTAATTATTGTGATCAATTTGCGCCGTCAATCCCGGGGCATGCGCGCTTCATTTGCAGTCTGGACGCTGAGGGTAAACTCCTCACTAAAATCCTGCGGCTCGGACTGCAGCGCTGAGAGGGATTCCTGTGGGAGAGGGAGAAAGGCGTTGGGATGGGGGAGGCGCCCCACAGCAGCAGCTGCCGCTGGAGGACAAGAGTAGGAACGATACATGCTTTCACGTAAGAGTCTCCAAAAGCCGCCAGTGACACCGTAAAAAGTCGCCAGATTTGTCGCTAGTCGCTTTTTTTTTTTAAATAGTCGCTGGAGGGGTCTGAAAAGTCGCTGAGTTGGCAACACTGCAACTGCGGCGCTGACTCGCTCCGCCATATTTCTTTTGCTTCCCCGGGATGACGGCGGCGGCGGATGACGCATTAATCGCGCGACACAACTAATCGATGATTAAATTCGTTGCCAACGCTTTTAAAAGTCGATTTTTATCGATTTTATCGATTCGTTGTTGCAGCCCTAGCGGTGACCCATATTGGTCCGATAGCCAAAATACTAATACCGGATTTTATCGACTAGCTTCTACTATCTAGGATATTTTGATACTAATAGAAACACTCTGCTTCCGTAAAAGGTTTCTGTAACTCATTGGTTAATTTTACATGAGTCAGTTGTTTTCATACCTTTTGTTAATGACTTATGATCCATGTTTTAGTGATATTACTTGTTCAAGCCTTTTCACAAATTCTCCAGTATAAAATAAGTAATAAAAGGTATTAGAATTCATATCATATCGGGTCGATATTGGCCAATTCTCAAAGCTTCAAAATCAGTATCCTATCAGACAGAAAAAGTTGTATCAGGACGCCCCTACAAGTAAGAGGTTCACCACTTCAACATATTTAACTTGAGCAAAAATTTAATGTAGCCATCCAAGGAATTACTCAAGTAAGGGTTAAAAGTATCATTTTTAAGTTAGTTAAGTTTTAATAACTGAGTAAATGTAACTAGTTACTACCCACCTCTGACTGTTGGCTTATTTTTTTTACTCGCTCATCATGTTTAAGCTGTTCCCTAAAGAGCTCGGCTAACGTTAGCATATTAACTCTGTTTTTAATTAACTCATTCATAATTTGGCTCATGACACATTAATGATTTGTGTTTTTTCAGTTTTTCTTTTAGCTCATTTTTGTAGCTTTTCCATGGGACACCTTCCAGAGCATAGCATGCAGAGCAGATCATATTACAAAGGGAGGGGTGGTTTCTCTTTCTCTGTGAATATCATAAGGCTTGAAACAAAGACTGACTATGAATCTACATAATTTAACAGTGTATTGGGATCCTCCTGAATGTTCACTTACTTCCATTGGGATCTGTTTTTAAAGGAGACAGAATGAAATCAGTCACAGATCTACATTTGTAGTTCATCCTGTTGAAAATCCTACTTTAAGTTGTTCGGTTGTGGTACTTTAGGGACTATCAAAAACATATTCTTATATGATGTTTGTTTGTTTTCTCTCTCTCCTAGTGGCGTGCGTCCATTTGGTGTGTCATTGCTGATAGCTGGTTGGGACGAGGATCACCCCTACTTGTTCCAGTCTGATCCTTCTGTATGTTGATTTATTTCACATTGTCTGGGAATTTGTTTTAAACTTCCATTAGCAATAGGTTTAGAAAATTAAAGTTGGATAATAGATTATACTTTTTAAAGGTCATATAAGTGTCATAAACATGGTGGGTCTATAACATTCATTGGTGTCTTACAGGGAGCATATTTTGCATGGAAAGCCACAGCCATGGGAAAGAACTACGTCAATGGAAAAACATTCCTTGAAAAAAGGTAGAAATTGAGAATAGGCATATTTTTTAGCAAACTCTTTCAAAAGTCTTAATCTCAGATTATAGCTTAAATATTTCAATTATAATACATTGAGTTCATTTACCTTTCTTTCTTTACCTCTTCAGGTATAACAATGACCTGGAGTTAGAAGATGCCATTCACACAGCAATCCTAACACTGAAGGTGGAACAGTTTAAATGAACGATTTTTAAAATGCTATAATAATATGATACCCTTTACTGTCTTCAATCTATAATTGACCTCCGTCTATCTTTGTGTTTCAGGAGAGTTTTGAGGGTCAAATGACAGAGGAGAACATCGAGGTGGGAATCTGCAACGAGGCGGGGTTCAAAAGACTCACCCCAGCAGAGGTGAAGGATTACCTGGCGGCCATCGCGTGAACACATCCTCCCAGATGGGGCACCTGCCCCTATTTCAAAAAACAAATTTAGTAGCGCAGTAGCCAATAGTCACAAGAAACTTAAGGTTACAACCACAATTTCATCACCATAATCAAGATCCAGGCACTCTAATGACTACTTTTTCTCAGTGTCTACAGAAATGTATTTATACCTGAGATAAGCCAGAATAACCATCCTTACCTTAAGACATGCTAGGTTATGTGACAATTGGCTGCTGTGCAAACTAAAAGCTTTTTTTACTCTGACAAAAATCTCAGGTGTTCCACTGAATCTTCATTTTCTTGTTGCCCTTAATTTTTTCAAAGGAGTTTGGAGACACTCCATTTGTGTAACAAATTTTGCTGAAAATATGTACAAACACACTTAGAAATCATTAAAGTCTAAGATTATATTTCTTGGCTTTTCTTTTTTCCATTAACATTTTTAATTGAAATAAAAAAATAAAAGCAGGTGTGAAAGATTCAATGGATAACCTTTGAGATTTTACTGTCAAGATCTGGTTGCTGTACAACAGTTTTACATTATGTACTTCTTTTTTCAGGCTTGATACAGCTGTTCAGTTTGTATTTTCTCCACTGTTATGTCACTTATTCAAATAAAGAATAGTGAACTGTCGTTGACTCCTTGTTTCTTATTTGGAAGCTTTTATTTTGAAAATATTTCAAAATGAGTTTTGGGATTCTGGAGATGAGCGGGCTCTAACGTTCACCGGATCACCTTGCCTGATCACTTATGTATCCCTCCGCTTCTTTAATTTCTATATTTTGAAGCGTACTTTCAATTGGATGGCGTCCACAGTAATGGCTAAAGTATCCCAGCTTTCTGATATGATTTAAATGTAAATGTTTTATCTTTGTTTTTGTTAAATAAGTCAGCACTTTTTATGTCAGCGGAGGGTTAAAACTCTTCTCCGCGTAACGCCCAGATGACGTTTATGGCGCCAGAAATCAAGGCTTACGGAGGAGCCAGTTTGTGTCAGCAGAGGAAGGCTGCGCGCTATTTCTGTTATGAAGACGTTAGCTTAAACTCGGCCATAACCGACTGAGGGATTCATCTTTTGAGGTGGTATTAAAGTCAAGATGGTGGTTCTACGCAGCAGCGGTGGCGTCGGAGCCGAACCGATGGCTACCGCTCCGAAGAGGAGGTCGATGGACCTGGAAACGAGCACCGACTTTCTGTCGCTGATTCCCGCGTCGCAGAGAAAGTCCGCCCGAATGACCCGATCCTCTCGGTCCCTGAATGACAGCTTCAGCAGCCCAGAAAACACCCCCATAAATGTAAGCACACCCTGGAACAGCGCTTAGTAATGGGATAAGTTGTCGTTAATGGTAGTTAATGTCCGCTAGTTAGCTTGGAGCTAACTAGCTCATCAGATTCTTCCAGCCAGGATGCATCGCTGCTTCGCTTTGCTTCATGTTACAGAAACTCTCTATTTAACGATTATTTAACTATCATCATTTCACATCAAATGGTCATTTAATATCATTGGTCTATTTATCTGTAGTAGATAAGCAACATCATCGTTTCCCTCCATTCACTCATGGATTCATAGGACATTGATTATATTAAGACTTGTTGCACTTTCTAGTTTCTACGCCTTTTTAATTGTTCAGAATTACAGTATTTTCAATTTCTATATAAGTATAAATAGGAAAAGAATATTAAGACTATATGCTTTGTTCCATTGTCAAAATATTATGCTTATAGTTTGATTCAAAATCAATTCTTAACTTATTTTTATCTCTAAGCGCAGCTTGTGAAAACATTCAACCATGTTTGTCTGTTTTACTGTGTTTAGTTAAAGAACTATTTGCAAATTCACAGAAAACTATGTTGTTCCTCCAACAACTATTAAATGATAGAGATGAAACGGGCTGCCTCCTGCTCATGCATGCCTCCAAAACAACAACAACATTTAATTTGCTGTCAGATCTATTCCACCAACATTAGGAGGTTGTTCACTTGGCTGGTCATAATGCAATGCCTTATTGACTCACTAAGAATTCAGCTCATTTCAATCTGGATTAGATCTGAACCCATTCAGGGTTAATATGTCTGAAACCTACTTAATCACACATTATCTATGAGATACCTTCAGAATAAGGGTCTGCTGTAGTTATGATGAGGCAGATCATGGCTGAGGGAGAGGTTTCCTTATCTGAGTATCTGCCAGTATCCTCTGCTGTTGTCTTAACCAAATAATTATATTATTTTGATCATTTTAAAATGTGTTAATCGGATATGAAACCACATGAAATCATGATGAGGTCATTGCTCTGAAACAGTCAATGGTTTTAGATGTGTGCTTACATAAAGTAGATTAAAGCAACCAGATTATTTCTTGCCTTTTGGTTCTTCTTTGTTTTGTGTGTTTTTTTTTTCTTCCATGTGATCTCTTTCCATTTTTCTTTCCTTTCTTTGCGTCCTTTCTACTTTCCTTATTTCCTTGTGTGCTTTGTTTTCTTCCTTCCTTTTCTTAAAGTCTCCATCTGCCATATATTACAAGTGAACTATTAATATTTTAGATTAGACTTTAAAATTAGAAGACGGAGAAACCTGAAAAGCAGTGACTAAAAAAGTATTACAAAGACATTAAAAGATATAGAAAAGGAACTTTTCATTCAAATATATTCCAGGGTTGGATAACCAAAGACATTAATATTACTATTTCTATTCCTATTAGCTTACCCTGTGTGGATCAAGCCATTCATCCATCTTTGTACTTATTGTCCACAACTGTTTTTTTTTTATATATCCATTTTCCTATCTGTTTGTGCATTTTGTATAAAATAAATATTGTGTTTTATCTTGAGAAATATTTAAGGATCCAACTTATCTCAAATGTCTCTCATTAGACTAAACCATTTAAATTCCAAGCTCTTATAAAAACTTAAACTCTCTGTAATTATATCAGGGTCATGCGGATCTGAAACAGGACGATGGAAGAAGTCTCAGTCACTCCCTACGGAGCAGAGGACGAGTTAAACTGGAAGTTTCCTTTTCTGACATGGAGCCCAAAACCAGCTCTCCTGTGGATGAGGACAAAGCTGAGGGCTACTGCACCAGGTAATGAAGGACCATTAGCTCCAGGTAGAGTGCAAATCTGTAATAAAAAACCAACATAATAATCTCACTTTTGATTTGGCTCTGCTGTCATCAGGAAGTCCTCTCGGCTTCAGAGAGAAGCAAAGTCCACATGCGAGAAGCAGCGAGAAGGTGAGAACCATGAAGCTGATGGATGTTTGGAAGCATTCTGGGTTCAGGATGGCTAATGCGGTTTGTTCTCCTTCCTCCCAGATGTTCCAGATGAAGTGGAGGCATCATCCACCCCCAAGAGGAGTCGCTTCAACCTGCAGAGTCGGGGGGTGGAGGAGGAGGAAGAGGAGGAGGAAGATCACTCGGTGCGAAGAAGCTCCAGAATCACTAGATATAAGCTGGACTCCCGTAAACAGTCTGCGCTCTATGATCGCCTCATCACCAAGTGAGTGAATCTGCATTTAACCGTTTCTCTCCAACTTTGTTTGTTGTGTTCAAAGCTAACGTTAGCCACAGAGCCGCGCAAAGCTATAGATATCCAGACCATGAGGCATTTGTCTGTTTTAGTAGTTATGCAAAGTTGAACATTTTCAAAATGGATGGTAAGGTTATTAGTAGTTTATAGATTTAAACAAAAGTGTTTTTATATGTTTTTGAACCCTTTTTGATCTAATAAAAAGAGAAAAGGGGGGGGGGGGGTGCTATCCGAAATGGAGGTTCACCTTCCAGCAGCCATGATTATAATACAATGGTTTAGATCAAAGCATCATCGTGTGTTTGGGTTTCAATTTGTCGATATTCTAAGGCGAGACTCAGCTGTTGGTGTTCAGACTCCTTTCTTCCAGTCCCACTGGGCTGGACTTTCAGTTTCCAAAGCAGCTAGAAACTTTTTCCCACCAGAGAAAATGTTCTGCTCTGATCTCTCCTCAGCACCGCTGAAGCAGTCCTCCAAAAGATGGACGACATGCAGAAGATGAGACGCCGACTGAGAAGCAGAGACAGGGAAAATACAGAAGAGGTAGTAAAATTTTTTTTTAAACTTCTTATGCTGAGCTAAAACTGCTAAAACTGTCTGCTGCATAAGTTGTTTAAGATTTTATTTGGACCATGTGGGTTTTATGTTATTTCCACTTTGTTTTTAACTTTTTTTTTTGCTGTTTCTTCTTTGCAGCTTGGTGTCTACAGTTCAGATAGAATGAGAAGGTCTCTGAGGACCAGCACTAAGAATAATAAATCTGAAGAGAAGAACCAGGGTGAGATGGTTTGATTTTTGGACTCTGTGGGAAACGCTATCGTAGGGCTGGGCGATATAGAAAAAAAGCTTATCGATAAAAAAAAATGCATATTGATCGATATCGATAATTATTGAAAACATTTGAAACCATATTTTATGTGCAGCTCTGCCTGGACATTTTATGATATTGCTAAATTTAATTTTAATAAAGAACACAAACACAGACTTCTAATTAAATCTTTATTTAACCAACTTTTTTAACCATAACAGAATTGTTTTAAAGAAAAATAACTTAAGAGACCTGAGTTTTTATTAAATACTGACAAAGAATAAACTAAAGTGACCAGAAAAGTGACCAAAATAAATATAACAAATAAATAACTTTTATCGACTCTCTTTTTTTCTATTGCGCCACACGTCTATCGATCGATATATATCGTTATTGAATTATCGCCCAGCCCTACGCTGTCGTCATTTCTCCTCTGAACGCCATCCTTTCAACATCAGGAACGATGTCACATCTTCTTGTTATTTATATGATCGGCTGGTCTTCTCATTTAAAACTCAGAGGCAGATGAGGATGATCATGGCGAAGATGGGGAAGATGAAGAGGACGATGAGGATGGCGAAGATGAGGAAGAGGAAAACCACCAACGATACGACTTCCGACAGAGAAAGACGGTTGTTCGCTACCAGGCCCCGTTAGACGGTAGGGAATCTGTTCAAAGAAATGGATTTACCTGAAATGTGGATGAGATCCTGTAGGAAGATCAGATTTACAGAGATCCATCCAAACCCAGGAGAAAAGCAGAACTTGCTGCCCAAAGCTGTTGTCTTGAATTCTGTTAAAAATCTTCATGTTTCTTGTTTAGAATCCGGTTTTTGGATTCTGATTTATTGTGACGTTTGAGTCGACCTAATAAACACATTTTATCTTCCAGAACCCCGGGAGCCCAGGAAACGCAGCATGTATTTTAAGGAGCACTCGTCTCCTACCAGACGCAGGTTCAGGTTCAGCTCCACGGCCCCCAGGAGCCCCTATAACCAAAGGAGAACCAGCAGGTTGGTTTTACTGCTGATTGGATAAAATCCACTGTGATTCAACTGTAAACCTCCACAGGAGTCAATATTAGTTTATTCCTAAGTTACCAGAAACAGTCGCCTCCATCTAATGAAAACACCTTTATTTATTAATTGATTATCATAATTACACCTTTTTGCTGTTCTGTTATAAAGTAATATCGTTTGATTTGACCTCCTTTTTATTGAGGGAAAACAGTCAGAGGCTTCCATCAGGCTGCAACAGGTGGGGGAGGGGCAGGGATGTTCTGCTATTTGCTTAATACAGCAGAGCTTCCTCCATCTTCCCATTTAAAGGACTTTAAACAGATGTAAAGGAAACCTGTTTGATTTAAGCCTTCGATTGAACCTATTTATTTATTCATTAAGATGTATGACGTCCCCCATTTTTATCCCTGGGTGTTAGATCCATCCAACCATTCTTGTTTTTCTGTTTTTCTTCGCTTCCCTCCAAACCTCAGGAGTAGTTCTGAGAGGTAAGACCTTTGCTGTGTGTCTTTGTTGGGCTTTTAATTTGTCTGAGGGGGGGTGACGGTCATTAACAGCTTTGTGGGTGTTGGTGTCTGGTCTTTTATTTTATTTTAAAACAATACTGTTAATTAGGGATGGAACGGTTTATGAAAACCGTCCGAACCGTTTGGTTTGACTGTCTCGGTTCGATTCGTGTGTGTTTCGTTCGGTTCATGCGCTGCTCCTTTTTCTCATAGGCGAAGCGTGTACACTCCAGAGCAGAAGGTGGCAGTACTGCGACCAAAGCCAACCACCAGTAGTAAACAAGAAGAAGAAGAAGCGAAGCAGCGTAGCTGGGAGTAGCAGAAAAAAATCAGTTGTTGTGGAGAATTGTGTGGGTATGGCGAGAGGGAAAGAACAGGAGTTTGAAGATGCGCCAGCAGCACTTTATGACGGCGGAAAGAAAGTTGTGGATAAAAGTGCAACAGTGTGCAAGCATTATGCAACACGTGTTGTTTATGCTAACAGCAACACGACCAACATGTCAGGCTAACAATCAACATATACCGAACCAAGCCGAAAACCGTGACCACGAAACCGTGAACCGAACCGAACCATGGATTTTGTGAACTGTTCCACCCCTACTGTTAATAATATATTGCACAATGATAATGCTGATGGAAGTAGTTACAATGTTATAACTCTGGTGTTGATGCTTTTTCTACCTTGGATTCATTTTAAAAATGGAGTCAGTGATGCAGCTACAAGAGAAGAAACTGATTCATTATTTCCATCAGAATACGTTATTTCTGATCAAACAGTTCCTGTATAATTGGCTCACATTTACTGCAGCCCAGGTGGTTCTGTAATCATAATGTGTTCGCCTTCACTGCAATAATCATAGATTTGATATATATTTTGTCATCTTGCTCCGACTTTGTTTTATGTTTAAATGCAGGGTTTGTTCAAGGAAAGGATGAGAGAAAAGTCGTCTGTTTTAATGCCTGTCATGAACAGTAATTCCAATGAGGAAATGAACACAGCAGGAAGTACAGAGGTTTTATATTTTTGTTCAGCACAGTAGGATAATATTGAACATTAGTGTAGAGTTCTACTACAGTGGGTTTTGTAGGGGGGAAAAATGCTATTTAATTTTAATTGACAGCTTCCTTCTATTCTAATTGTGACTTAAATTTATAGCAATATGATTTATTAAATATTGAAACAGTGGCCAAATAATTTAGTAATGGGATTATTAACTTTAGTTAAAAACTCTAAAACTTGATATTCGCTGAAAGAAATACACACTTGGGTCACTAGTTAAGGCAAAACTGTTCAAAAGATATAATATAAGTGTCTAAAAATGTGGTTTAAATTCTGTAAAGAAAATCTATTAAGCACATTTTATAACCAGATTATACATCTGTCAATAGAAGATATGTTTATATTTGTTTTTCCACCCCCCACATTTATACTTAATCTAAACTGTGCAAGTTCAAATTGTTTCTTTGAAGAATGTATATCTACTAGGAGAAGATACTGTTAAGTATTTATTTTGGATTAATAAAAAATAATTGATAAATAAATCAATTGCTGAAATAATTAAGTAACGACATAGAAACTGGATTTCTTTATTTCTTTATTTGAAAACATCCATCATGATAAAACTGAACTGATTCAGAGATAAATGTTATAAATGTTTTCTTAGTATGTTTAGGATACTATCATAGTCTAGCTCGTAGATATTGACGTGATTTAAAAATGTAATTCTAATCCTACAAATCCTTTGTTTTTAATTCAGGAAATAAACTTTGATAAGATGAACACATCGTAAAACCTGACACTCTTCATATAGTTGAGTCTTTTCTCCAAATCAAACCTTTTAACTCCTGATTCTTGTTTACATTTTTTGTTCCACTTGTGTGTCTGTTTATGAGTGGTGGTGATTTATTTATTTATTATTTATTTATTTTTTAACCTGCTATACATGTTTAGGTGTAAATTTTACTGTAATTTATGTAATCATCTGTATTTGGCATCATTAAGGGTTGAGATAAGAGGAAAATCTTTCTACTTGACAGGAGAAGACACGCCATCCACAGCAGCGACTCCACATCATCGTCATCTGATGATGAGAAATTCCAGAGGCGACGCAGTAAAAACCGGAGCAGGCCGGTCAACAGGTGAGGACCCCAACACTGATATCTGATCGAGGAGCAGCAGGAGGGGAACTTCAATCAGAAGTTCCTGTCATGTCAACATTAGGCTGATACTAAGGAGCATTTTTGGTCTCTCTTTAGACCAAAAGTCCTTAGTTATTAGAAGTTGTCGATGTGAGCACTGTGAAGCGTCTCCTTGTTTGGTGATGGTGACTCTGTTGGCAGATGGGGACACCAGGGAGTCGTTGCATCTCTGTAAAGAGTGACTTTATATTATCTGTTTTCTTCTTGGAGGTGTCTGCCGATGAACCTCGTTAAAGAAGACCTGCTGGGGATCCATAAAGACAGGATGAAGATCGGAGCCAGCCTCGCTGACGTAGACCCCATGCAGATAGACAAAACGGTAAAGGATTGCATGAAGAGGAATGATTTACTTTTTAAAAAGTTAAGAGATGGATGTCTCCGTCTATGCATTCCTACCTCGTTAACTTTAGGGCATCACAGCAGCGAACCTTCAGATGATAGAACAACACATAGTTTAATTGTGAATTTGAAGAGAAGCAGGGTTCCCTCGGGTCCTTAAAAAGTCTTAAAAGGCATTGAATTCTTCAAAATAAAACTAAGGCCTTAATTGGTATTAAAATGTCTTAAATTAGTCTTTCGTAGGTCTTATTTTGTAAAACATCATAAATAGGATTATTTTTATTACGATTTATGTTTGTAATCTAAATATAACATTAAAATTAAAAAAAAAAAATTGTATTAAAAAAAAAAAAAAAAAAAACGGCCCGCCATTATTGGTTCCGTCCCGATAGCGGAACCAATAAAAGCGTTGTCTCGCCCGGGACATTTGGGAGATGCACCATTAACTTTTTGTCTTGGCACTGGTAATGTTGTGGCTTTAAAACTGATTTTTTTGTTCCCTGCTAAAACAAAGTTTGTGAATTCAGTTAAATAATTGTTAAAAAATATCTGTCATTTGTTTGTTTTTAGCTTTCTTTCTGTATGGGAAGCTTTTCAAAATTTGAAACATTAGTGCAATGGTTTATGTTAAACTTTTGGGTAAAGTTGTCGCAAGCAGGTTTTTCTTGTGTTTCTTGTAAATTTGGTGTTAAATTTTTATTTCAAGTGGCATTAAAAAGTCTTAAGTCTTGAATTTAACTCGCCTTATGCTGTAGGAACCCTGAGAAGGTTTTCTCCTTTTCTGTCCTCTCCTTCACTCTTATGCTTCTAAAATGGAGCTCATTGATTAAATAATTTGATCATTTAATAAAAAATTTTTTTGAATGAAAATGAAATTTTTGGAAAATCAACATTTATTTATTTTTTTATACTGTTGCTTCTTTCTACTAATCCACTCCTTGGGGGTCCTAAGCTCAGACTGACATCCGTTCTTTGGCGTTTGCTCAAGGCTGATTAACAAGCTCAGTATGTGAAAACACCAGCTGCAAACCTTTAGTTTGTTATATTTTCAGTGTTTCTAGTGAAACACTGAAAATATTTCTTGTTTCCCAACTTTTGTTGCCCTTTAAATTAAGGTCACCTCTTAGAAAAATACAAAGTACTTTAAAAATAGACTTATTTAAATCATCTTATCTATTATGAAATTTAAGTGAGGTGGGGGCGAGTTGGATTTAGTAGGATGAAAAATTGGAACATAGATTTTAAAGCCATATTGCCCAACACTGCTGTAAATAAGATTAAAATGTTATAATCAATAAGATTTAATGTTTTAATTGCCATCAGCAGTCGGCTGAATAGAAAAAAAAGAACAGCTGTTTTTCTAAAGACATTTGGGACACAGCAACATAGTTATAGATGTTTTTTATCAAAAGGGACTAAACTGAAAAATTTGGCCTTAACGTGATGAAAAACCCCAAAGTCCCATGGTTGAACATGGTGAAGGCAGCATAATGCTGTGGGGGTGCTGTTAGTTATTACAGTATTAGAAAGAGAGTTCAGACTAAAATTTCTCCTTGTACAGCCGAGTCAAAGGCCGAATCCAAATCCAACTGAACACTAATCCCATTTAATCTCAATGAAATACTTGCAGTCTTTGGGCTTCTCACTACTTTCGCAAGAAGAATCGTAACAATTCTCTTCTCGGCCTGCTCCAGGTTCGCTTCGACAGCATTGGAGGTCTGAGCAGACACATTTCATCCCTGAAGGAGATGGTGGTGTTCCCCCTGCTCTACCCAGAGGTGTTTGAGAGGTTCAGAATTCAACCACCAAGGTAAACCATTACTGTCATTATGAGACCCTTAGGGAGTTCTGGCTTTGACTGTGAACATAGGCAGAAACAAAACAAAAGAAAAATAAAAATCCTTTGGGACACTGTTAAAAACAATAAAATGCATTCAGGAAAAAAAAAAAACTTAAAATATTTATTAAACACAATTTTATCTCCTAGTAGAAACATGTGTACATGAAATTCTGCAGCACATGGAAGCTTTTTTCCTTGCAGATTTTCCTCTTTTGTTTTTTCTCTCTCTCTCTGTGTAATTGAGATTACATATCCCCCTCCTTTCTTCAGGGGCTGCCTTTTTTATGGCCCCCCAGGCACTGGGAAAACCCTGGTGGCCAGAGCGCTGGCCAACGAGTGCAGCCAGGGGGAAAGGAAGGTGGCCTTCTTCATGAGGAAAGGAGCCGACTGTCTGAGCAAGTGGGTGGGGGAGTCGGAGAGACAGCTACGGCTACTGTTTGATCAGGTAACACCCAGATCCTCTATTTACTGATGATCATTTAGGGGTTTCTATTCAGCCTGGAACTAACATCCAGTTTGGAATAAACATGTTCACCTTTAAGGTGATATTTATAGTATTTAAATCATGGTGTGCTGCTGTTTATCATTATTGTTGCTGAATCTCTTTTAGGCCTATCAAATGCGCCCGTCTATCATCTTCTTTGATGAGATTGATGGTTTGGCTCCAGTGCGATCCAGCCGTCAGGACCAAATCCACAGGTTGGAGTTCTTCTTTCTGTCTAGCTCCAGGTCTGAGCGGGTTAGCAGTACTGAGGTTTTATACCTCAAATAGGTCATGTTTTAAATTCTGTTCTACCTGCAGTTCTTAAACCTGTTATTGCTGTATATTTAGGAAACAAAATGAATACCTGTTTTTTTTTTTTATTCAAGTATTATAAACAGTAGAAATCTCAAAGTGTCCCATTCTTACTCAGCTATACCTAAAACAAGAAGGTGATTAGATTCTTTAGATCCAGAAGTTGATCAGGATTTCTTATTGTATCCTTTATTTCTGTCTCTCAATTTAGTTCCATTGTGTCGACCCTCCTGGCCCTTATGGACGGGTTGGACAGCAGAGGAGAGGTTGTCGTTATCGGAGCTACAAACAGGCTGGACTCCATCGACCCGGCTCTGAGGAGACCCGGTCGATTCGACAGAGAGTTCCTGTTCGGCCTGCCGGACAGAGAGGTGGGGACATTTCTACTGAAATATGTGCCTAAAGGCCATCAATCATCCTCTGCAGGAAAAAGCAATCAAATGATGTAGAAACAGTCATCCTGTGTCTACCTGACCTGAAGTGCAACGTTAAACCCTACATTTAGAAATATTTACTTAAAACATATTTATGTTCCATTTTTTTTTTCTTTTAATTTAACAACAGTTTATCATGTTTGATATTTGAAGGAGTCTAGAAATAAAATGTTGCATTTTTAACTTTAAAAGTTGCATTCAAAATTTCACTTTCTGGTTTTAATGTTTATTTAAAATGTATTTAAAATTCTTTAATTAATAAAAAGGTTTTCCTTCATTTTAACTGCAGGCAAGGAAAGACATCCTGAAGATTCACACCAGACAGTGGACTCCTCCACCTTCGGAGGCTTTTCTGGAGGAGCTTGCAGAAAAATGTGTTGGTATGTTTATGAATGGCAGCAAAAAACCTCTCTGCCTCCTTTTATCCTAGTCGTCTCTCCCTTCCTGCTCTCGATCAGAAGAAGCAAGAACCTTCATGTGTTCAGTGTGTAGAATAAAAGCATGAAGGTCATAAAGGCTGTTCAGAAATGATCCTCTGCCCCCCATAGGCTACTGTGGAGCAGATATCAAGGCTGTTTGTTCAGAGGCAGCTCTATGTGCCCTCCGGCGCCGCTATCCACAAATCTACTCTTCTTCTCAAAAACTGGTTCTGGACGTGAACTCCATCGTCATCACCAGCAGAGACTTTAAGTGCGCCATGTCCAAGATGGTACCAGCTGCCCAACGGTATAAAGAAGCTGCTCCAATAAGACTTTTTCTCTTTTCTAATATAAAAGTCTTTAATCCCATATTTCTCTCTGTTTTTAGTGCGGTAGTGTCTCCAGCTAAAGCTTTGATACCTGCCATCCGTCCTCTGCTGAACGCCACCCTGCAGAAGGTTCTGGACACTGTGAGACGCGTCTTCCCACACGCCGAGCAGGGCTTGAAGAGGAAGAGAGGACAAGGTGCCTTTTCTTTATTTCCTGTGCCGATGTGTTCCTGTTGTAGAGACCAGCTGTGTCATTCCTCCTTGGTTGTTTGCTTCTAGATGTGAGCTGTGGGATATCGGATGAGGATCTGATGTTCAGTGAGGAAGAAGACTGTGAGGTCTCCTCTCAAGCTCAGATACAAACCCCTGCTGCCAGCGGCCTCCTCAGTCTCAGCGGGTAATCTCTCACTCTCTCTCACTACACATCAAAGCACTGCATCATTAAAGTAACAGGGTTCCCGCAGCACCTTAAGTCTTAAATTTAAACATTTAAATGTAATAACTTTTAAAATGTATGAAATTTGATTATATAATATCAGCCATCATAAGCCTAGCTAGCTGCTAGGCTAAGTGGCTAGGCCGAGAAGCTACCAGTTAGAGAGAGTTAGAAGTTCCTACGGCTGGCAGAAACTAGCTTCTGCAGGCAAACTGTAGGAGATGGAAGGAGGAGAGCTGAGGATCCGCGGAAAGCGGCTGAGTTGGAGAGAGGAGGCTCCAGCTGGTGGGTGTCTGTACCAGAGGTGGGACGAAGAACTGGTTATTCTAGGGCTGCATTAAAATGGCCTTATATCCTTCCTTTTTTTATAAAAGCCACCTAAAAACCTCTTAAGAGCATCCCCACTCCATCCTTTGTTAACATTGTTTTCTATCTTCAATTTTGATTTTAAAAAGCTCATCTTTGCTGCATCCCTCAGTATAGCTCACAGCAGCATCTAGATCATGACTGGTATTCACCACAAAAATGTAAACCAAAGTTCATATTTTTAACTCCTGTGTATGAAGCGAAGCAGAATTTTGCTGTACACCCCAGAGTCGTTCCATTTGCCCGATTTGGCTTTGCTCCTGCTGCGAAATTTGCTTTAATTCTTTTGTGTTTTATCAAACCTCGACACAGTTCTGTAGGTAGTTACTGAACTTCAATCTGATTTAGATAAACACATTTTCTTAAATTCCAGAAATACTTTTTTTTTCCGTATGTCCGTGAAATATGTATTGCATATTATTATAAGCGGTGTTAAAATGTCTTTTATTTAAATTGTTAAACATTTTCTGAAAACACTCCCTCTCACCTCTTCTCCCCTCATAGGAGCGTGTTGAGTCAGCCCACATCCTACCGACCACGGCTCCTGCTGGAGGGCCGACCGGGCTCGGGTCAGAGCTCACATTTGGGCCCCGCCGTTCTCCACGCTCTGGAGAAGTTCACAGTATACACCCTGGACATGGCCGTCCTGTTTGGAGCCAGCGCTACAGCCCCTGAAGAAACGTGTGCAAAGGTGAGGATAGAGAGGAGCTTTAGAACAGCTTTTCTGAATATCGTTACTCTAAACAAAGGTTGGGAAGTCTTGATTGGATCCTCTGCAGGTTTTCTTTAGCAGCCTTGTCAAATTCAGTGGGATCTTTTTGGTAGACCTCACTGGCCAAAATGGCTTCCACATAAACTGTAGTTCATGGGCCCTGTTCCTTACATTATAAAAAACAGGGATAAATCTGTACTACAGACAAACTCATGGTACATAAAACGTCAAACTGTGGAGCTCATGTTAAAGCCTCCATCCTGGATTGTTGGTTTAGACAACAGAATGATGGGATTACATTTGCACAGCTCGGTTAGCTGTGGAAAAAATGGCCTGTTTGTTTTTTTTTTTGTTTATTCTTTTAACCAACCAGACGGTAAAGAGGTCTGTGCGGCTTACTGCAGCCTCAGGTGTCTAATCACCTTTTATCTTTCATAATTTTACAGAACTCATCATTTAAGCAGGGCAGAGGAAGGGGTGTAATAAAGTCCTTAAAAAGGTTTATTCCTGGTTGCTGGGAAAAAATAAACATCTTAGGTTTAGTGAAGAATCCACTGCTAATCATCTAAATAGATCATAAATTTGTGTCTGATTACTGCCTTTTTTTTGTCAATAAAATTGAGCTGGAGTAATTTTTGTCCGGTTCCAACTTTCCTTAAGGGAAAGATGGTCAGAAGAACAGCATTCAGAATATTTTATCTGGGTGACCTAAATAATTAATATGGCTGTGACTGTGTGTCGTAGCAAGCAACGCTTCAAACAAAGACAAATACTGCTGTTCAAAAGGAAACCCCTTTCTTTTGGGGGGCATTACAGCACTGAGACACTGTTAACATAAAATCCTTTTATTACAAAGCTACACAGGATCTGCATTCAATCATATTTTATTCCATCACCATTTGTTGGAATTCATTATTTTTACAAAAACTGAGCTCATTTTGTTCTCTACATGTCCAGCATGTTTAATGATGGGTTGGTTGTAAAGCTGACTGTCCCCGTCCAGCTTTGCTGCTGTTGTTGTCTTCCTCTCACATCCTGATTGAACCTCAGTTATGTTTTGGTTGTTAAAGGGAAAAACGTCTTTAAAATATAGTTTCTCTGCTTCATTTTAAACACAATTAAAGTAGCTTTGAGTCCTTCAGTCCACCCTGGCAATCAGCCTGATCTACTGCGCTGTGACTGGGAAAAATATCATCTGATCAGTGGCTGAGCTTTTAGTTGTTAGACTTTTATTTCATTTTACTTCCCTCAGTTTATACCAATTCAGCATTGAGCTTGATCCACTTAAAAAAAATAAAAAATTATACAGATTTTTTTCCCATTCATACAGATGACTGCTTCTGTTTTATGCTCCACAGATTTTTGTAGAAGCCAAGCGAACGTCTCCCAGTATCCTGTACATCCCTCATATTGGACAGTGGTGGGAAACTGTAGGTTCTGCTTTAAGAGCCACTTTCCTCAGCCTCCTCAGCTCCATCCCTGCCTTCTCTCCTATTCTGTTGCTGGCCACCTGCAGCCTCCGCTATGAGCAGCTCAGTATGGAGGTAGGAGGTTTCTGCAGCAGGACACAGACTTTGCTTTCATAAAATTAATTCTTCACACATCACAGCAGATAATTCAGAGTAGCCTGGATTGTATTTTTATTTTTTTTACATCTGTCGTGCTCCTCGTTTTAGGTGCAGGAGTTGTTTCGTGTCGAGTATGGAGAAGTTTTCAATGTACCAGCCCCCAGCAGCCAAGAGAGGAGGGACTTCTTTGAGGATCTGATCCTCAACCAGGCTGCAAAGGCCCCCGCCTCAAAGAGAAAAGCTGGTAAACGGTGGATCTGATATAAATAGAATTTTTAAAGCAGTTTTAGGTTCAGTTGGAAGCCCTATGTACTATACTAATGACGTTTAGATTTAGCCTCAGAGGCTTTCTTCTGATTGAATCACCTTTTCCTGTCCTCTGAATCCTCCACTCAGTGCTCCGAGCGTTAGAGGTGCTACCAGTCGCTCCCCCGGCTCCGCCACGTCAGCTGACGGAGGAGGAAAGCAGACGCCTGGATGAGCAGGAAGAAGACACCCTCAGGGAGCTGCGTCTGTTTCTGCGTGACGTTACAAACCGCCTCTCTCAAGATAAACGCTTCAAGGCTTTTACCAAGCCTGTGGATCTAGAGGAGGTAGCTGCTCCAACTTTTCCTCTGGTCTTTCTGACTCAAAGCCAAGGTTTCCCCACTTTAATATGCTCATCTACAGGGTTTCCACAGGTCATTAAAAATCATGAAATTATTATTTTTCAATTATCGTGGAATTAAAGGATACTAAGGATTTATATGAGAAGCATAGATACTTGTTGATAGCATTAAAATTATTTCCAAGAGCATTAAATTACAGTTACTCATTCCTGGATAAACCTTTATCTATAAAGCTGGTCATGTCTATCACCAGGTTCCAGATTATGCTGAAGTCATCAAGACGCCCATGGACCTGTCTACAGTCCTCTCCAGGATAGACCTCCATCACTACAGCACGGTCAAAGAGTTTCTCCAGGACGTAGACCTCATCTGGCAGAATGCCCTCGAATACAACCCAGACAGGGACCCCTCAGGTAGCACTGCAAGTTAACAACTAAGTTCATTCAAAGGTCATTTTGATCAACAAGTGAATAATTGAGAAGAGGCAGAAAATTTAGACACAAATAAATCTAGATTTCCAGCAGAGAGATTTAGATTATAATACATTAGTGTCCCAGAAGAGTCTGTTCAACACACAAACCTAAAACAGCTGAGAATGTTTGAAAAGACTTGAAAATTGATGTTTTCCATCCTGAACTCTGGGTTTATATGAAAGAAGAATGAGTAAAAACTGTCTAGAATACTGGATACTTGGAGGTGTAATGAAAAAAAAAAAAAAAACGTGATTCAACAAATTATTACTTTGGGATCTGAAGTTAAATACTAAAAATCAGATTTTTATTTCTTGAAAAGAACAAATTCAAGCCTGTATTACATCTCCTCCTCTGAGTGATGCCCTACTGTATGTTGCTCTAGGAAATAGATGCTAATAAACTAAAAATCATGTTTATGGTTAAAAGTAAAAAGCTTGATTCGTCTTTTTATTCTTTTGTTCCTATTTGATCAAACTTATTCTGGTGTGTTCCCTGCAGACCGTCAGATCCGTCACAGAGCGTGTGCTTTGAAGGACACCGTCCACGCCATCATCCGAGAAGAACTGGATGAGGATTTTGAGAAGATTTGTGAGGAGATCAAAGAGTCACGCAAAACAAGAGGTTAGGAATTACTTCCTAATCTCCGCGGTTAGTTTATTTAAAAGCAATGGGTTGTTTTTCTTCTCCGTTTTTAAATATATGTTTATTCGTCCTACTATTATTTCAATTTTTTTAGATAAAGGATTTTTATTGAGTTTAATTAGTTCCAGATTAAATGATTAAAACAAGAAATTACTATGTTTATGTTGACTAAACTACAGCAGTATAGATTTACCTTTTAATTTCAGATTAGTTCATATTATGAAAAAGCAGCACATGTAAACATCATATTAAATGTTATTTTTTCTGATGTTTTTTTTTTCATTTCCTCACCTATGATCAGGTTGCTTTACAACGCGATACGCTCCCTCCTTCTACCACGTCCTTCCCAAACAGCCCAGGGCTGCTGCAGAAACCAGCGTCCATGATGTCATCCCACAAAACCAGGCGGTTGAATCCTCTCCTGCAGCAGCAGTGAATACATCTCTTTCTGCCGTTACAACTCCTAAAAACACAGGTAATGAGTACTTTTGACTGAAGTCGGTTTGGCTCAAAGTTTATTCATGTTTACATTGATCTTTTCTGCTCCCTCAGCACATAAGAAGAAGCGTCGGAGAAGTCGCTGGTCTATTGGGTACATTGCTAAGAGGAAGCCTTCCTCCTCTCCTCATGTGTCAAAAGATGAGGCTCAGTATGCCTCTGAGGAGGAGGAGGAGTATGGAGATGATGAAGATGCGGAGAATCAAGATGGTGTCGCAGCAAAAGAGGATCTAATAGACGCCGGGACAGAACCAGTGAGAGCAGCAGATCAGGAGGCAGGTGGTGAAGAGGAGTCCATCCGGCGCGATGAAGAGACACTAGAAAAGGACGAAGCTGTCCAACATAAATCGGAGACGTTTCAAAACGCCATGGGAGGAGATGAGAACATCAAAGGCATCGCTTGCTGCAGTGAGGAAGAGGAGGAAACACAGCAGCCCACTGCCACAGAAAACATGATTACTGGAAACCAGTCAGAGATGGAAAACAGTCTTTCTGCTGAGGATCAAAACTGTAAACCAGTGGGTGAAGCAGAGCTGAGCAAACCTGCTGAGCCAATGGTGGTGGATGGGGCAGAGACAGCAATCACAGAAGCAGCAGCAGCTGGCAGGAGTGACATGGACACCAGTTCAGGTTGGTCAGATATCAGCAGATGAAGTGAGCTCCTTATTCCTTCAGTAAATCTTTTCCTGAGGGGATTATCAATGTTTTAAAATGTTTTATCAGATTATAAACTACTGGGATTTTATCTGATTAAACGACCTAAATGTGAGCTAGAGAAAAAAATAGGGTTCAGTGTTTTAAATTTTAAACAGAGTTTAGTGTTTTTGTTCATTTGAGTTATAAAAACTATCTTCATCCAACTGTTCTAGCTGCACAGCTTTTAGGGTCGGGTTCTGCCAGCTTCTGTTCTTCCACAGATTCCTGATTAGATTTGGTTCTGAACTTTGACTAGGCCATTGTCTCACATATCACTATGCTTTAATCCAAACCATTCAGCTGTAGCTCTGAATCCCTTTTCTTCTGTGCTTCCATCAGTCTATGACCTTTACTATTTCATCATGTGTGTCGATGTTGAACATCTCCTGCCGTTAGACTCTGTCCATCTAGTGGAATGTGTCAAGATGTAAACAAGTTAAAGTGTTGTCAATATATTTGCCATGCTTGGTGGAAACATAACTCATGATCCTTCTACCATCCAAAGCACTCATATCTTTGTCTTTAGGACTACAGCCCCAGCTGGCATCAATGCTGTGGAAAATAATCATTCAGACTAAATTAGCCAGTGTTGGGGGTTTTTTTTGTGTTTGTTTGTTTTTAATGAACTCCCATGGTTCTTGACCGTAGTTCCCTATAACTAGGTAAATTCTTAACAGTTTTCTGTTTTCTAGATATTATTAGGAAATGGATGAGATCAAACATGGATCAATCAGTTGGTGTCTCTCATCTCAGTGTGTTTTTTTGTGTTCCGCCTCAGAGCGAAACGTGAGACGAATGACCCGAGCCCTGAAGAACACAGTACTGCAGCAGCACATGGTCCCTGTGGACAAAGCTCTACAGATCCTCAACGAGGAAAGTCCTCCTCTGGTTGTGGACAGAGACAAGTTACAGGTTTGTCATTTTGCGTTAAACTTCTTTTTTTTTTTTCTATCAGATCTGAGGAAAAGATTGACAGCATTGTTTTTTATTTTAATCAGGAGCTGCTGGATAAGGTGGTGGCAAAGACCGAAGGCTATGAGGTTTACAAGCTGGAAAAACTCTACGCTGTTCTCTGTCAGAGCATCTACAGACACAGACATGACTACAATAAAACCGCATTGATACAGGTTGGTTCTGTCTCTTTAACTATCAATTAGAATTGGGGGTTCAAATATTCTGTGAGATGAGGATCCATTTGCAGTGATTTTAACAAATGATTCTTCTGTTTTTAATGCAAACTGTTCATACATGTTTCATGCATCTGTTTTGTTTTTTTTTCCTGTTTTTTTAGGAGTTGGAGATAGAAATCAAAGACTTCTGATCATTCAGACTGATTTTGGAGAAAATATTGACTTAATCCTCGTCATCCATGTGAATATTCAGGCATTGATCCTACTTTTATTGTAGAAAACAATAGTTATCTATATTTGTTATTTAGATGAAGCTTTGTATTACAGCTTGTTTATATGTAATTAAAGGCTTTTTCACCTGTTATTATTATTGTTTATCATTTGTGCTTTCAGATCTTCTGCACTTGTGAAACTGCAAACTGTAAAAGGAATACACTGATGATTTTATTTCTCCATTTTCCTATGAACCCATGTTTGACATTTCACTGAGAGTGGGACTAAATTAAATACCATCTGTGAACCGTCAGTGATCATTGTGTGACATTTATTTCTGTAACCACTATTGGCATCACTGTTTAAAAATGTTTAGAGCTCCGCAACAATAGTTTTTTAATCCAGCAGCATTAACTCTAACAGACCCATTAAAAAAACAGACTTTATCAATGTGGTGATGTTTTTATACAAACTATGAAATAAATAGATATTTGGAAAGTATGGAGGAAGTTTATTGTTTGTCTGTTGCTGTTTTCTAAAATATCCTGCATCAATTTACAATTCATTATTTTTGATTATTAGTTAAAATCCAACTGATTTAAAATCTGATTACAAGGAATTCCTGATGCATTGTGATTGAATAAAGTGTCCCACGTTTCTCTTCCCGAAGGAAAGGGCCTCACAGATCTTCCATACTTTGATTAAAAAGAATAATTAAAGTAACGGTGGAGGAAAAATCCATCTGTTTACATTAGGTATGCTAAAAAAAAACTTTCAAACTGGTCTGTAGATGTAATAATTTAGTAGAAAAATTGTAACTAATGCCACACTTCAAGCTTGTAAATTATCTTACATTTGTCTAGACTGGTATTACTGCTGTAGCACAAAATATTTAAGCTCAATATGACAAATGTGTCTGAATACATGTCATGTGATCAGGGATATTTTCATAAATTTTCTATGTTGGATTCGAGAATGGGGCAATGTGATGGTTATATGTACGGTAAGTAGGTCAGTAGACCGGTGACCTACCTCTGCATAAGCTAAATGAAGATCATTTGAATAAACCATACGTCCAACAACTGGGGCTGTTCTGCTAAAATGTGCCCGTTGATCTTTTTCACATTTGGTCACATTACAGCATTAAATGTGTATTAATTGGTTTAGTTAATAGGATTAACGCAAAGCAGGGCTTTATAGTAAAGTGGAGGAAATGTGAAAAACATTAATTTTTTATACAATGTTAAACATCTTCAGACATCTATATGTTTCTGTTATGCAACACACCGTTGTAGGTGTGAGTATTTTAAAGACAAATGTAGACCTTAAGTCTGGATGGAGGAGCATCTGCACATCCGTCTTAGTATTGCCATTTATTCTCTGCGTTTTGTGTCATTCTGAAACATGAATACGCTTTGAGTAAAACCTGAGATCCATTCAACAGTTTGATTTCATGTTTTACGCTGTTCTGCTTAAAACTAGTCTCAGGCCCTTGCAGCCTCCAACTGTTATATCAATGGTTATGTATTTCATACAGCTATTTAGCAAGGCCAAGGACTCCAAAGCACTTTACATTCCGTCATTCACACACTGATGGTGGTAAGCTACATAGTGACCACAGCTCCCATTGGGCAGTCTTCCATTTAACAGCTGTAACCTAAATCAAAATCATAAATTTAGTTGTATTTATTTCTCACTCTTACATGTCTGAGTAATCCTGACGAATTAAGCTATCTCAGCAGCAGCTCCTCCCAGTCCAGAAAAAAACAAGTGATCTTGGTAGGTCTACTTAGAGCAGTCATTGGCCGCCCTCTCCAGGAAGCACCTACCCTAACCCTTCACAGTAAAAATAAAAAAGGTAATTTTCTCTGATCAGTGAGCTTTGATGTGAGGGAGAAACCTTATAGACAGTCCAGCAGAAGCGAGTTCCTCTGTAGAATTGGTCCTGGCCGCTGTCATGGACACTCTGCTAAGACACGACACAATCAATTTCATATAAACCAATGACTAACTGGTTGATTGGACCAGTCTGTTTTACAGCTTTATTTTAAAAAGCACTTCTAACTTTAACCACACAGAAATAGAATCTCATTTTCATATAGGCTAGATCAGGAGTCTGCAACATGCAGCTCCAAAGACCCAAGAGGTAATTAGCTTTTGTCGGATTCTTTATATTTAAAGGGGATAACTACAAGTTTAACTCCAGTGAGTGGCGCAGTCAAGCTCATCTGATCCGATTTTGTATCATTTTGCCAGAGATTCTCCAGGTCTGCTAACGCTAATTTAGCCATTTAACTTACCTGTTAAGAAGAAAAATAGCAACCAGTCCACACTCCAAATCAGTGATGGCCATAATGCACACCTACAGTTGTTTGCCAACCGCCAAATACAATTTACAAAGGAGAAAAGAGACAACCTTTGCATGGCTTCTGAGCCCCTTTGCTCCCTGAATTTGGCACCAACGTTTAAAAACATGACTGATGTTCACTCTCTGATTCTTTTTTGTTTTGAATTTGAGAAATGTAGTGATGAGAAGAAATCTTTAATCACTTACCATCAAGGATCAACTAGGATCTGGAAACCCCTGAACTTTTCTTATTTTTCTATTAAAAAATGTATTTTTCTTCTATTATATTTAACTCAATGTAAGCCCATGATGCAAAATCCCTAGGAGGTTGGGTGGTATAGGCAGGGGTCAACAGGGGCCACAGCTCCTGTAGACCTGGTCCTGGCCCCTGTTCTAAAGACATGATAAAAAAAAAAAAAAGATATGAGCTGGAAGAGACATAAGTGAGATGTTCCTTGGAACCATTTAATTTTAACTCTACAATTCTGTTTTAACCGAGATCTATAAATTAAGGTGATCATTTCAGCCATATTGCGAGGAGAGCCATAGTTATCTTCTGCTAAAATTAATTTTTAACCAAACTGGGATAAAAAAAACTTTTATTTAATCAAGCTAAATTTCTCAGTTTTACTTAATTTCTTTCTACTAATGATTTGATTTGAACTTGTAATTTTAATGTAAAATACCAAAAATATGTTATATTCCTAAATTATGAATGTAGATTAACTGAATATTCGAAAGAAACACTTTTATTTTATTTTTAGTATATTTATTTAGGAAATACCCATGGTAATAGATTTTAAAAAAATAAATAAATAATAAATTGTTAAAAAAAATTTGTACTTTCAAACCAAAAACAGAACAGAAATTTCTAATTAAATTGAATTAAATTGAGATTTCACATGTGGCTCTTTTGTTCTGCGGGTCCTTTGTTCTGCAGTTTCATTGGTCTGATGTCATTGGTCCTATGTCAAAATTTGCATGCTGTTTTTTTATGCTTAATGTGAGCATCAGAGTACATTTTGTTGAAAGAAAACAGCAGCATTTCTTGCTACATTAATACCAATCTTATAAGCACTACACACACTAGATGCTGTTTATCAATGTTTTTCCACTTTGAAAAGGTTTGCATTTAAACTTACCAGCAACTAAGACAGTGCCTATTTAACCAAATATAGTCTAAATATGTCCATTATACTGTATGTGGATTTATCCAATTTTCTTTTGAAGATATAAAATTGTGCAGAGGAAAACAGAGGTAAACCCCACTCTTATTTTTTTTTTATCTAATATGCTCTGTCTGTATCATGAAAAATAATACATTCAAGGGAAGGTAAATAATTGTATTGTATTTACATGTGCACTGGAAGTATAAGAGGAACTGACACTGAGCATTTAAAATATTAACTTCACTATACAAGTTGTACATATGGGCTGTAGTTACTCTGCGTAGCCCATTTCATGTATTTTATCTTGGGCTGGAACAATTAATCATATTAATCGATTATTTAAATAATTGTCAACTAATTTAGTAATTGATTAATCATTACCTGGTGTATAGGGCCACTAAAATGTGCCTTTACCCGACAGAGCGACCCATTTAGAGCAGGAATTATACCAAGATTGTAAAAAAATATGTAAAAATTTTGCATTTGAGATTAAAAAAAAGTTTTTGTCGTTAAATATTCTGCATCCAGAACTCCTCAAGAGGAAAACTTTCTGTTTCACCTTGTTTCATGTAGTAAAAAATCTTTTTCTTCTTTGGCTATTTGATTATTAATCGATTCATCGAAAAAATAATCGACAGATTTATCAATTTGCAAAATAATCATTAATTGCAGCCCTAATTTTATGGTAACATTCCAAACACATTTCTCCCATAATACAGCACTGAAGGGCAGCTGCTTCACCATGAGGCTGCCCTGCATCATTATATCTGTGTTTCCTACAGTCATATAATGTTTCTATTATACAAGTGTGTTTTTATTGGTAAAGGATTAAATGTAACACAACCTTTTATCCTCATCCTATATTACTTACTGTCTGACTCTTTAAATAGCTCCTTATGCAATAACTCTGTATTTTAAATTATAAACATGTTGTTCACATCGAATTATTGGTAGGGACAAGTAGGTCGATCCAAAATTTTGGTAGGGACATGTCCCTATGGTCCCTATACAAACCTACGCCCATGCGCGGGTCTCTTGATATATTTTAAATGATAAACTATGTCTCTGGGCCCTGCCTCTATAAATAAGGTGGTGAGCAGCCACTGGCTGTAGTATTGCACGGAAATAAGAAAAGGGTTTGAATACTTTTTACAAGGAAGTGTTTGCGAATTTAACGACCTCTTTTACTTTAATCTTATCAAAACTATTCAAAACAGTATAACCCCGCGCAGCAGTGAGGAGGATCACCTTGACTGCAGTGAACTAGTAGCGTGTCCTTAAGTAGCTTCTCATTTTCCCTCTCAGGTCATCTGAGGACACTCTGGCTCACAGCCCAATCGGAAACGGATGAGTTTACGACCTTTTGCGCTGATTGTCGCCCTCCAGGCCGCTTTACGAGCCGACTGTGATTAACTAAAATACTTGTTTGAGTATGAAAACTTGGGGCTTTATTATTATTAAAAAACGGTATGTGTATATATAAAATATATACTGGATCCCCTCCGAAAGTCGCCGCGGAATGACGTCAGCACGTATTACATTGAATGATGACGCTGTTTGATCGTTAAAAAAAAAAAAAATCAGGCGTTAAAATATTTGGGAAATAGGTCAGCAAACAGGACAGCAGCAGCGGCGCGCGGCCCTTTTTTAATGTTTTAGCCGTTTTTACTTTGAAGAAGAGCGGCTGGTGAGAGATAGATAACCTGCTCGGTCCAGGAGAGACAGACAGAGATGTCCGGTGTTTCCAGCATCAGCGGAGGGAGGCTGTAGCCGTCAGAGCTGCTCTCTGTGTCCTCG